ACTACCGCGCGAATTCAACAGGTACGTAACACCTAGTATGTTTACTAGTGATGTTTCCGATCCTTACGAAATCTTAAAACGCTCGATTCTTAAACGAGGAGACCTAACCGATCGACAAAGGTTAGATCAACTCTTCAATAACATCGACCTGCAACACGGTTCTGCGACAGACATGTTGCAACGGATGAGAGAGGTTATAGGCCCAAGAACTTTCGACGAAGGTCTATTCAAACAACTCTTCTTGTCAAAACTTCCCCAACAGGTGCAAGCAGTTCTGGTCTCGTTCCAGAACAACGCCTTAGACGAGCTAGCTGCATCTGCCGACCGCATTCTAGAAATTACGAAACCTACTACCGAGGTATTTTCAGTCAAAGAAAAGCCTCACACGACTCAGAATGATATAACCGACTTATGTCACACACTCACGCGTTATCTTAGTCTTCGTACCGACCGTAAGAGATCGCGCACACCACGTAGAAGCATTTCTCGTAAGCGATCTGTCTCTAGACCACGAGAGACAGATAACCCCGACTGGTGCTGGTATCATAACCAGTATGGAAAGTTTTCCAGAAATTGCAGAAAACCCTGCAATTTTCCCAACACGAAACCGACTGATTCGAAAAACAATTCGGGAAACTTCCAAGCCGGCACGCGTTAACGGCAACCGTAGCCGGCGAACAAAGCCGTCTGTTATTCGTCACAGATGTGACAACGAGAGTTCGCTACCTCGTCGACACTGGCGCAGAAGTTAGCGTTCTCCCAGCAAATCCTAACGACCGACTTCACGAATCGACCCTAAACTTACAGGCGGCAAACGGAAAACCGATCGCTACGTATGGCAAAAGGTACGTTTACCTTAACGTGGGTTTACGCAAACCCATCCACTGGATTTTCGTTGTTGCAGATGTTTCTATGCCAATCATTGGTATGGACCTTCTACAACACCACAATCTGATCATCGACACTCGCAAACGGAGGCTAGTAGACGGAAACACTAATTTGTCCGTTTGCGTAACTTCTTTTACTGGTTGTAGAGTATCCCCAGTCACAGTTAAACATATGATAGACCCACTCTATCAACCACTACTCGATAAGTACCCTGGGATACAACAAACTCAACCGAAACTACCGTGTGTAACCAGCAATGTTACACATCACATCACGACTACAGGACCACCTGTATTTTCTAAAGCACGACGACTAGCTCCTGAAAAGCTAAGGTTAGCGAAAAACGAATTCGATCACATGATGGACTTAGGAATCATACGACCGTCAAGTAGCCCATATGCATCTCCGTTGCACATGGTCCCTAAAAAGGACAGCAACGATTGGCGTCCAACTGGTGACTATCGGCGATTGAACGCGAAAACCATTCCCGATCGTTACCCGTTGCCTCACATTCACGATTTGACAGCTACCTTGAAAGGTACAACTGTCTTTTCGAAAATCGACTTGGTTAAAGCGTATAACCAAATCCCTATGGCTACTGACGACATACCGAAAACAGCTATCATAACTCCCTTCGGACTCTATGAATTTTTGCGAATGCCTTTCGGTCTAAGGAATGCTGCTCAAACATTCCAAAGATTCATAGACGACGTTTTTCGAGGTCTCAACTTCGTACACGCGTATGTTGACGACTGTCTAATCGCAAGTCCGGACAGAGAAACACATCTCAAGCATCTGGATCTTGTTTTCGAACGATTACAAAAACATGGCATAACTGTAAACGTTCAGAAATGCCAATTCGGAACCGACTCATTAGACTTTCTGGGACACACTATCGATGCTCAAGGTATCCGACCCCTTAGAACCAAAGTGGCGGCCATTCTGGATTACCCAGAACCGACCACCGTCAAGCAATTACGCACGTTTAACGGCCTGGTAAGTTTCTATAGACGTTTCATACCGAAATGCGCATTACTTATGAAACCTCTGACCGACCAACTTCGTGGAAATGCGAAATCCATTAATTTGGACGACACCGCACGAAAAGCATTCTCCACAGTTAAGGAACTGATCGCTAAAGCAACAATGCTCGCACATCAGGACACCGGAGCACCCATTAGCATCGCAGTAGACGCATCCGACTCGGCAATCGGAGGAGTCTTACAACAATGGGTTAACAACTCCTGGCAACCCTTGGCATTTTTCTCTAGAAGGTTGCTAGACACCGAATCGAGGTACAGCACATTCGGTAGGGAACTCCTAGCTATGTATTGTGCTGTACGGCATTTCCAACACTATATCGAAGGCCGTGAATTCACTCTTTTCACGGACCATAAACCGCTCACTTTCTCGTTAAGCTCTCCTTCTGACAAGTACTCTCCCCGTGAGTCTCGACAACTGGACTACATTTCGCAGTTTACTTCAGATATTCAACACATCTCTGGAGCAAACAATGTAGTTGCAGACGCCTTATCTCGCATAACTTCCTTGAACAGTTTCCAAGGAATCGACCTTCTTAAACTCGCCGAGCTTCAAAAAGAAGACACTGATCTTCAGCACGAGTTATCGTCCACAACACTTAAACTACGCATCAAACAGATGGGAACAGGTAAGGAAACCTTACTTTGTGACACATCTACAGGTAGGGATCGCCCAATCGTGCCGAAACATTATCGACGCAATGTCTTCAATACATTGCACAAACTTTCTCATCCAGGTGTTCGTGCAACCATCAAGCTTATAGCAGAACGATTTTGCTGGCCTGGCATGAATAAAGACGTGAGGGAGTGGGCACGCTCCTGTGTAAGCTGCCAAAAATCTAAGGTTATCAGACACAATAAATGTCCCTTAGGCTCGTTTAAAACTCCCGATGCTCGTTTCGACCATGTTCATCTGGATTTGGTAGGACCTTTACCAGATTCAAATGGATACTCTTATCTCTTAACCTGCGTAGACCGTTTCACTCGATGGCCAGAAGCAGTACCTATCAAGGACATCACTGCTGAAACAGTGGCCCGCACCTTCGTCGAACGATGGGTAGCAAACTTCGGCTGCCCTTCAACCATCACTACAGACCGCGGACGTCAGTTTGAATCTGATCTTTTCCGTCGTCTGACCACACTTTTAGGAATCACTCGCTTCCGAACGACCGCCTACCATCCACAAGCAAACGGGTTGGTAGAACGTTTTCACCGACAACTGAAAGCTTCGCTATCAGCTGCAAACGTTTCACAATGGACCGACGCTCTTCCACTCGTCTTACTAGGTATCCGCAATGCAGTGAAAGCTGACATTGGATACACTGCGGCTCAACTCGTTTATGGAACGACACTTCGACTTCCAGGAGAATTCGTGGATCCTTCGTCCTCTTCAATGAACATGGATCTAACCTCCTACACGAACAGGCTTACAAACGCAATGCGTTCAGTTAAACCTGCTTCCACTCGACCTCAATCAACTGATGTTTTCGTTCAACCTGACTTACGATATAGTACACACGTTTTCGTTCGTCGAGACTCGCATCGACGACCATTCGAATCAGCATACGAAGGACCCTTCAAAGTTCTTCAACGTGAATCTAAGTACTATATAGTCGATAAGAACGGAACCAACGATAGCATCAGCATCGATCGCTTAAAAGCAGCGTATTTAGAAGGAAATCCTATTCACGTCGATTTTCCTTCGGTACAATCGCACAACACGACTCCTACACTCATAATTCCTCAACCGACAACCAACACTAGCGATGATACTCCGAATGTATCTGAAAATAAACCTAAAACGACGCGTTCTGGAAGAAGAGTAAGATTTCCAGAACATTTAAACGACTACTGCACGTAAGGCACTACTCGACATTTTATATTATCTCGATTTTTCTTTTGACAGTATATAATATTTAAAAAAAAACAATTTTAATATGCCTATATGTTTATATTTTTATTTTAAAAAAAAACAAAAAAAACAAAATTATTTTTAACGCTATTACGTGTGCTTGAGTTTATTTTCCATTTTTTCGCCGACATTGTGTTTTTACGCACATACGAGTGTATTTCGACATGCACTTACATATTCTTTTTTCTTTTCCAGGACGGCTGGAAAAGAACGATGCAGTTTACGAGGAGTCGAAATTTTCGTTGTAACTTTTTCTTTTTTTACTATGTTGTACCTCGGTCCCATATAGTAAGGAAAGACGACCAGACGCTGCTACACTTAGTAAGCTATCAGAAGAGTGTTTACCAACGACAAACTCGTTGGGTTTAAACTTCTGGCTGGCCACGTCTTAGGGTCGTCACTGCCCCACTAGGGGGGGAGTGATCTGTAGCGGTAAATAAATCCCCAAAATAAATAGCACTAAGTTTTCGACATTGGATGCTGACCATATGTTTTAGTGGACTCATCTAGCTGAAGGCGCTCGGTCAGGCATCCGCACCAGATCACGTGTGGTAACGCCGTGCTCAACATCAACCGCAATCGCTAGCCAGATTAGATCAGAGAATTCCGATATATTGGTCATCGCCAAATACACTCTTCCGATCTCCTCGACTCTGTCTTTTGATTTCTCTTGGTGGGAACGAAATATATTAGAAGGTGTTACTGGTAGAAGCGTTGTCAAACACTGAATACCTGTGACATCATCAAACACAAAGTGCGGTTAAAAGAGGCATGGATAAAGGGCGGAATACACAACAGGGAGAAGAAATATATGTCATGATAAGTTCAGTAAAATACTTTGGGGGACTTTTAGAATGTTCTTCCCGTTGCATTTATAGTTCGACACACATGTAATTTGGTGAAATACTTAAGAAGTTAATAGTGATATGAAATAATATTGGTAGTTCTGTTCTATACCCACAAATCCAAGTAAATACTGTCCCAGAATGACAGAGTTAGTGGTGAATGTACTTTTTAAAACCATGGCATATAAAACCATTGTTGTTTTTAAAGCCAGTTGTCATTGTTGAGGTAACCATCGTACAGAACATACCTGTATAGGTCCATATGCTAAATAGGATCCCGAGATTGATAACAAGAATAAATATGGAATTCGTAGAATGAGAGAAATATTAGTTGATGTTGGAAACGTGAAAACTACACAAGAAACTGGCAAAAATATAGTATTCGCGTGTTTGATTCGTTTGCGTGGTATGTTATTTGTTTTGAAGAATTGCGCATGGCACCTGGTAGTTCATTCATAGTTACCATAACACTAAAACTGATAAAATCACGAGCGCGTTTAGACACCCACCTAAATGAGATGAATGATAAAATCAGAAGCTTAGAGACACCATAACAAAATACCGTATCTCAACGATTTTGAGAAAGACAAATGGAAGATGGATTGAAACAAAAAGGGTTATGAATAAATAGTTTTCGTGAAATAGAATTGAAATCGCTGGCTTTAGGCAAAATAATACACGTTAATATGTCCAAGTTATGGTAGACAATACTCATCTCACGATTACTACTATTTACACGAGACCTAAAGGACTTGAATGTGCTTCAGCTCATCCAGAACTTCGGAGATTTTGTGTTGACATTGGTTCCTTGTCATGATATCCCTGAAGCTGAATACACTGTGACTGAGTAAACTAAAATTAAATACCAGACACTTGAGAAAAATCAGTAAAGACATACTCGAGAACACTCAGTGAAGATATCATAGCTCAGACATGCAAGTCTGATCACTTTGTGAAACCGCTTGCATTCAAATTAAATTTACTACTCTATTATCATCTATGTATTCTACAACGATTATTGAACGAAACTTTAGTGAATGTCACTATAGGACGAGACAGTACAGGTGGTGATGTAACACTGACGTCAGATCTCACAAATTGGGCAGTCGTATCATGGTAAGTACAGAATATTGGATTAGGCGTACCATTCCAACCAAGATTATGCATCATGTGTTCCAGTTCAGACTGTTTATGTTATAGGCGCCTAAATTACGTGGTAACAAATCTACCTAAAATGGCTAGATGTCCCTCCATCTTCTTAAAAGGCTGACAAAATTTTCCACGTTATCCTATTGAATGTAGGTCATACATGTACTGTCTCGTCCTATTGTGATAGTCAGTAACGTCTCGTTCAAGAATCATTATAGAATACATTCATGATAACGGAATGATACATTTATTTTGAATGAAAGTGATTTCATAAAGCGATCACACCCGCATGTCCAAGCCATGAGGTCTCTATTGAGTGTTCTCCAGTGTATCTCAACTGACCTTCCTCAAGTACCAACAATTAATGTAAGTTTTCTCAGTTTTTATATGTTGAGCATCAAGGATCATGTGGTTAGAAACCAATGCTTCTACAATATGATCTTTAGTCTTCCTAAAACCTGAAGTGGTTTATACTAAACGCTTACGTGCGAACGAGGTATTTGTAAACAATAATATTAATGGTGATGCTTAAGTGGAGCAGCTCCCCAAAAATATCAGTATACTAATGAGTAAGGAATCACATAAACTGCAGTTAAGCATCCTGGGCAAACTTTCTGTTGTGGACATTCTGGCACGGGACTACATCAACAGACCCCCATTTTGGTCAAGGTGACAAACGTACAATAACAGACAGTCAGAACAAAGCAGAGACTGGATTCAATTACTTTATAAATCTCGGTTCACATGGCTCCTCTTGACACAACTCGTTTTCACGGTTCATCTAACATGAGCTTTCGAGCCATTATTCTTCGCCTCCGTACAAGGAAGGATATTCCAGTTAGAGCCCTCTGACGCGGACTTTTAATCAACCTTGCTAATCTTATATTGACTCATTATGAGGATGACATCACGAACCACGGTTACGTAGCACGCCTAAGTAAAAGTGACCATGCAGTTCTAGCACTTGATTTCCATATAATTATCGTAAACGAGCACGCGTCAGATCAATCCTGACCTAACGTCTGGAAAGCAAATATACAAGATATTATACACTCAGCATCGACAGTAGATTTGATAATAGAATCAGACTCCCCAATTGAAACAGCTTGATGTATTTCGAAATTTATAATTAAAAGTAACTGCACCTCACATCCCTTGGACTACACCAAGGAGTTTGAGAAACTCCCCATGATGGTTTAGTAAGAAGGTTCGTGCCCTTCTCCGTAAGAAGAGAAGAATATCGGAGAGATTTATCTTAATGGTTTCTGACGAGACAAAATCCCAATATTAGGAAGCTCGAAATATTTATGCATCGACCATCCTCAATTTTAGAAAGTTGTACGAAGAATAACTACTCGTACATAAACCAAGGGACTAAGAAAAGAGGAAATATTCTAGCACTATGGGGAGACAGTTGTACTGCGTCATTAGTGTAGGACGATTATGGTAAAGCTCAGGTATTTTCACAATACTTTAGCAATGCATATATCTTGAAAATCCCCCCTTCAGTTCATATGAGCCACCACTTCCACAGACACTGGACACTGTGAACATTGATAAACTCTATGTCTTTGGTTCGCTAAATGTGCTTGGTACAATAGGTCCATCGAGCCAGTTAAAGGCTACCGCACACTGCCATGCGGCAGCCGCCAAAGGTTTTAGAATCCTATGGTCAATACGTAGGGCCTTTAGTCATATCGACGCTAAAACTTTTGACTTTGTATACATTGTTCGTGCGTCCTAAACTTGACTACTGCATAAAAGCAGCTAGCTCCTGTTTAAAAAAGACAGCGAGCTTCCGGAAAAGATTCAGAGAACAGCAACTAAGTTGATTCCCGGAACAGCAAAGCTCCGTATGATGCTCGACTCGCTAAGCTGAACCTTCTCCCGTCATCATATAGGAGAGCTAGAGGCGACTTGATAATAGTTTTCAAATTGCCTAGTGGTAAATTTACACCTGATACGTCCTCATTTTTCTTGTCTTCTAAAACAGAGAATTCACAAGCACACTCCAAAAATGTTCACAAACCCAAAACAAATTGCTTTCCAGCTGACTACTGACCTTTCCTTCGAATCATCAACGAGTGGAATTCAATACCTCCATTCATCGACTCTTTCAAAAGAAAGTCGGATCAACTAAGAGACCATCATTTCCAGGACTAACACAGCCCACTAAATCTCCTGTCCTTTCCAAACTGAAACTGATTTATAAAACTTGTCTCGGAAGGGTTTATCAACCTACTAACCCTTTATGAAGAGATAATTATAAGATAATTATGCTACACTGATGTTTATTGATAGAACGTAATTTGACTTCATACTAATTATAAATCTGGATTTTAGTAATCGAGAGAGGCGGAAAGTCTCTATCCTCATGAAAAGCAATTCCCGTGGTGAAACCTCTTCACCTACTCTTAATATAGATACAGTTTCGATCGACGCAGCAGGTGACCATTTCATATTCATGACCAACCTTCAGAAATTCAGGAGCCGAATAATAAAATAAAAATAAAATATTTTTAGTTGGGAGAGCATCGTTCGAAAATGTTTGATGTTTGATCGCTTCCTATCGTCCGCTGTCTCTACGGTCTACGAGGTGGTGGTAATACGAATGTTTAACGTGTTGCATGTTTTCGTTGGGTTTGATGCTCATATCGATTTTCTTACTTAGTTTTCATTTGCTGTGCATATACCCAGTAATCTCATGTAGGTGTGAAATTTAGTCATTATGGTAGCAAATAGCTGTTTGTGTTGACCAACCACTAAGGTTTGGAGAAAATTGTTCTTATGTATGTCACTGTTTGGAAGATGCATGTGTAGCAACTTCGAACAGCGTTGGGTGTCAATTTGGATCTTGCAGTCCTGGTTATTTTGGTTTTCCTGCTTGTCAAAATGGTAATTAAAATTATTCAAATTTTGCTTCATATATAATTCAGCATGTCCTACTGGTACTTTTGGTTTAAATTGCTCACAGAATTGTAATTGTGAACCACAGAACCTTTGTAATCATATTAATGGGGTATGTATTGACGGGAATAAGTGCGGTAAAGGTTTCTATGGAGCTGCATGCACTAAAAGTAAGTACGGATTCTTGGTTTATTCGTGCTAGTTCGAACCAAAATGATTTTCCCTCCTAGGGTTTACAGTGATTGTGAGTACCTTCATATTTCATGGCCAGCTTTCAATAGCAGTTACTATATTGGGTCACCAAACATTGTTAAGTACACGTTAGTTTCTCTGTTATTTTATAAGATTGTAACTAGAGTTTTGTTCAGGTCTGAATCAACAAATCTTTCAGTATACCAATCAGTCAACGCAACGTCCTCTTATGAAAATGATTATGCCATCAAATTTACTCACGAAAACTCACTTACCCCTTTCGTGTTTTCCGTTAGGGCTGATTTTCTAGTCTCTATTGTAACTGACGAATACATTGTTGAAGGTGTTCCGAGCCCTGAATCATCCCCTCTGGAGATTAAATGCCCAGGTACGTTTTTCACTCTAGGTTTTATTTTTTAATCTTAACTTTAATTTTCAGTTGAACACTTTTACGGTAACATTTGGAGTAAATTCGGTCTCAGTTTACGTCACTAAAATGCTTAAACACTTAATCTACTTTTTATTTATTGTACATTTAGTGGTATGACTACTTTGAAAAAAATATGCCTGAAGCTGATGTGTTAGCAAAAACGTAGCAATTAAAAATGTCAACAGTATATGTTTCCTGATAGTAGTATTTTTCACATGTGCACACACTTCATGTTTTGATCCACTTTATTTGTAAGAACTGTTAAGATGACCTGGGTACGCACAGTGGAGTTGTGCATGCTTAAGGATTGTGTTCTAACATAGGCAGTTTGAGTGCTTGGCCATCGGTTTGCACGTATCATTCAGAAAGTCGTGAAGACATGGATACCATGTCAAACAACTGGCAATGAAAAATCCAGTGTAATTCTTTCAGTCATTTACCCATGAAATAGCACTATTGAGCTATGCGAATGTAATTAAAGTGATATAAGTCGATAAAGTTGGGCGGTACCGCTCATTCGTCATTTTAGAATCGGAACACTTGTTGATTAGTGGATATTTTTCAATCCTATCTGCATGTTGGATTGTTGAGATATATACCCACATATGCTATCAGAAAACACTAAATGTTTTGCTGAGCTAGTAATCATTAAAGTCAGGTACAATATCCTAACTCAGGCCAGGTATACATCCTTTGTTTTTGCAAAAAGTGACTATTCTTTATGTCGAAAGTCACTAAACATTTTTATCACACCTGTCTTAATTTCGCTTAGGGTTTATCACCAGATACAAGAGATCTAAAGGATCGTTAAAATACAGATTTATCATCCGAGTTTTTTTTAACGTAAAATGATTAGAGGCTTTTTAAACTTACTCAGATTTTAACTGACGTTCTGATGATAGTTTGTCGAGATTAAAGTTTGGGGATACTTTTGATCAGAAGGCTGCCTGTTCTGTCAACCAACTGCTTGCGTTGTGAAATTTCTGTCCTCTTCAATTTCATGGGTATAAATCATCATGTTTCTAACTTCTTGTTCATTAAATCTACATTTTTTATTTTACAAAAATACCGGTACAACTGAAGACTAAATAATATGCGCTGTATCAGTAAGGAACTAAAAATTGTGAAGAGGTAGGTTGGGGAATGGAGTGCAGTCAAAGACATTTGGACGAATAAACCTAAGTGGACAAAAATAATATACAACTAGAAACAGTTAGGTTAAAAATGAACTGAAAAATACCTTTTTTACAAGATTGAATCACTTTACAAGTCTATTTATTACTGTACTGAGTCTTATTGGGAGATGTAGATTCCTTAATTGAAGTTCAGAAGATACTTCTACTTATTAGTTTTAATCGTTGGTTGGCGTGGTTCAAAACCGAACGAACTTTTTTCTTTTAGGCTTGAGCTTTGATAGTTGTAATCATTTTTCTCCTGCCTTTTCGTTATCAAAGTGAACTGAATGTTCTAGACGTTGCTTACAACCATTTATGTTACTGTAATTACAACTATTGTAATCTTGATCTAGATAATTTTCTTTCAATGTTCTGGTACTGACTGTGACGTGTGCCTGTCCATACTTGTATCATACTCTGGGTTTTCAATACCTCACCGGTCGATAAAATGTACTGGAAAATAAATGGAAGTGTTGTCCCTGGACATTTTGTAAAGTTTTCCAAGTAATAAACTATTACTTTTACATAATCATCATGTTGGAAATATTACCAAACCACTCATGACCAAAGTAAAATTGTTTTATTCACGAAAAATTTCATTAACAATAGACAAGTCTAACAGTTGGTTAATATATCTGTTAGGTTTCTCCAGCTATGTCGCTAGAATACATGAACGTAACATAAGTGTTATTTGACGCTAGTTGAAATGACGTATCTGGGACCTTTAGTTGGTTTAGCTGTTTCATTGCGCTGATTTTTAAAACGTCATATAAATAATGAAACGTTTGGATGATTGACACGCTAGAAATGACTTAAAGTGTGAATAACCTTAAAAGATTCAGTCCATTTCTTCTGTCGTATAACTACAAGGTGGTTCGTGTCCCTACATCTTCCAAAGGATACATAACCTGAGAAAAGACAAATTTTGTTTATCTGAATATTTATTGGAGTACAGATGAGGGATAATTAGGCTATTACAACAAGACATTGCTTCTTACGTAGTGGAACTTAAAATAATTTAGGCTAGTCCATATCACGCTTGGGCCTGAACAAACGTTAGTTAGAGCTAGACTATATAACACTTTGGTACGATCGGCCTCCCTGATTGTATTTGAGTCTTCATCTTGAACATAATACGCTTCACTGTCAACATATTTATAGTAATGAGGTTATATTATCATCATTTAAACAGTAGTGAGGTTCATCTTCATAACCATTACGTATCTGTCAAATTCATCTGTAAATATCAGTTTCCATAGTAGTGACATGTATCATGGAGGTCCAAAACCATAAAGATTATTTTACCGTGTTTATATACCATTTAACGTCTAACATCAAAGTTGTTCACTCAGTAAGCTCATTGGAGAGCAACTGTATGCTGTAACATTAACGGTTATGGCTTATTTTGTTGATATTTTGTCTATATCTTTGAACGTATACATTAAATACTAGCAGTTGAGCAATAATTTCTGCATCTTTACCTTCTTCCACTGTTTAGCTCTTCCGGATGTTTCCGTTATACCGAATAACAATTCAGTGAATATTCGTTGGAATGATCCGCAGAACCCTTCAATTCAAAATGTTTTTATACATGCTACATTGATTGGAATCGGTGACTGCTTCAGTTTATCGCCATCAGACTATCTGAATTACACTAAAACAGTGAATATTGGAGTCAAAGATATTCAATTGCAACTAGATTACTGGCGGCGTTATATTGTTACAGTTTATGGTTTGACATCTCGTGGTATTTCCACCAGTCCCTCAACTACTACTATTATGACTTCGTTTGAGAGTGAGTTTCTCCAAAGATTCTGTTCTGATAAACTTATTCAGTTATGTTTGTAAAAAAGATAATTGGCAGTGGTAATCCAGCCTGTTTACCGGCCATTGTCATATTCGTTTAAGCCAAACGAGCAGATTACTAAAGCTCTTACTCTCACAATTGTGGCTACACGAGGTACCCAGATTTTCTAGTTTAAGCTTTCATAATTAACCAACTTTCTTTTCCAAATACCTTTACCGTAAAATTGTAAGTGGTTTTACTCACCTTTTTAAAATATTTCCAACACACAATTGGATCGCTTATTTATATTTAATCGTTTTATTCCTAATCGGTAAAAGATACAATAATATTTTTCAAGTTAAAGAAGAGCTTGGATTTAGGACCACAAAGAAATACTGTAGGAACAACTGTTTGACAGATACTCGTTAAAGTAAGAAAACTTATTCACTGAGAAATACCAGTTTAGTTTGAGTTTGCTTTTTATGTTCTCTTAACATTTATGTTGTATGTTCTATATATTTAGATCCGAGCGGTCCACCTATGAACTTACGTCAACTGTCTCAATCAAATCAATCTGTTAATGTGACATGGGATAATCCTTTATGTAGTCAGCGAGGTGGACCACTAGAAATGTATTTAATTAATATTTCAACATTATCGTCAGTTGTAACACCAACTACGTTAGGGAATTCAAAAAACATGCCACCTATTCAAATTAACAATCTTACACCTCAAATTGTATATACGTTACAAGTGGCTTATAAAAATCCGGTGGGTGTTGGACCTTCAAGTCAATTATTAATTTCTCTTAATCGATCGGGTATGTTTTTTTAGAATTTCATGTTAACTAGAATAAATTCGATTTTAATTATACATCTAGACATGTTTTTATTTTTAAGTCACAGTTTCTGTAATTGTAACATTATTAAGGTTTGTATGAGCTCGAGTGACTGTAAACAATTTTATTATGTTCTATGTATTTTATCTTATTCTTCTTGGCTCTTACACATTGTAACAGTTGAATGTTTTTGGGTTGTAGGGCCAGTGGAATGTCACTGAGGTGGCTATGTTGTAATGCCGTCCTAAATAAAAGCGTCAAACAGTTTTCGTCAGGGCCATTCACTTTTTCAATAGTCATGTTCGTAGTGGTGACCTTTAATTTTCATTTGGCTTGGAAGATTCAACCTCTCACTTATCAATTTAGATTATGTAGTTCTGTTTGGTAAATATGTTGATAAAATGTCGTCTTCTGAATGGTTTGTGTCAATTTAAGCATATTCAGTGTGTATTACTTCAATTATCCGTCTATCCATAAAAAAGTTAATGTACTGTGGAATAACTTTAGAAGGTTAATTACATACGTAGTCCACGAACCTTCGTAGAATAAAGTAATCGAAGTGTCACACATCCCTAATCATCGACTACCAAGACATTCTTAGCTGGTTAACATAAATGAGTAATACAAAAGAAGGTTGGTGTTTACTAAAATTAATCTTATTCATTTTCGGTCTGATTTGTGAAACAAAGACTAGTGGAAATCTGGAAGGTGACCGCAATATACAGTTAGGGGTTTTGAGTGATAGCTCATATTCGATCTCAGTAGTGTAAATGCGTCCATTCGCCATTCTTTAATTCTCCAGTTTTAACGTTATTTTACACTTTTTATCTTTCATTTTTATTTATTTTGTTTCGATTTACATTTCATTCCTTTTTGCAGTTACCACTATTTAAAATTCTTTAGGATTATCCTTGTTATTTTAATGTTAACATAATGATGTAATGTTTGATAACTTGAGCTAATGTACATCTGTTCCAGATTCGACGTTATTGATCATTTAAAGATAATAAATAAGAACTTTCGTCTAAACGATTTGAACGATTAGTTTCATAATATTTGGGCGCCGAGTTAATGTGAGTCACTAAGGAAGAAGAATGTACTTGTAAAATCTCAGAGAAAATATTTTCCTTGAAAAAGCTTGGACCAGATTGCCTGACGAAACGTTGGATTTACTTCAAATTCTTTCGCTGAGATTTTACAAATACATTCTTCCTCTTTAATGATTTATAGATAATGTTCAGCAGGTCATTAAATCCGTAGTTAAAGTGATGTTATTCCGACGAATACTTTATTTAAGTTATTTTTCCCACTCACATTCAGCTTTGGTTGTTTAAGAAATCTCTTCAGGCATCTCATAGTGAGTAAAAATATTAGCTGTCTAGCAGTTTCTAGAAAAAAAACATCTCAAGTTTATCAATTGTTATCGAATTCCTGGTTGATCTATTATACAGCGAATCATATTTTTTACTTGACGATTTAATTTCATTTTAAATTCTTTACAGAAAAAGTTATAGAGCTATTATGCAGTACCACTTAAGTTCCCATAGTTGCTACCTTGACGTGGTGGTCGGGCTTGCCTATCGCGAAAACTCAACTGAGCTGTTTTGACTGCGGCACATGTTCCTTTAGGTCTTATCATACCAGGCAGGTCGGTTCGAGAACGATAAGACTAAAAGCAGCAACTTAAGGCTTGGGGGTGAAGTCGAGCTGTCGAGTGTTGAGGGTTGTAACAGCAGTAAGGAATATATTTTAGTAACAACTAGAGAAGTAGCTAGTCAACCGTACACATAATATCTACTTTGAGGTACCTTGGTATGATATCCAAAAGGCTATGAAAACATCAGTGACATCTGCTAGTAACTTAAACCAAAAGGTTAGAGAAAATCTGGGTTTCAGCGGCGTCTACAGAGCTGATAGCTGCTCAGAAACTCATCTCGTATGGGTTCGAACACGATGAGCTACGGAGGCAGCTTAAATGTAGGTTGGTCAGAAGCCTATGTAATGATCGTGAGCGGTGGTGGGTAGTGAAAGAAGAGATGGGAAAGGCAGCAGTGAAAGGTAACAGTAGACAAATGTTCAGACATATCAAGGAAACGGGTATTAAAAATTCAGTTATTAGCGAAACTCTCGGAAAAAGATGAGACTTATTCATTCTTAATCCAGGAGATTGGACCGATGGGCAGAACACTGGGGAACATTCTGACTGGCCTTCAGCCACACTTTATTTGCCCATTATCTCCAAGCAACCTGGATGGGGAACTGATGTACGTTCTCCAACTCTTAGCCAGGTTGAAAAGGCCGTAAGTAATCTAATACGAGGGAAAGTAACGGTCTGATGGACTAACCACTGAGATTTTAAGGAAGGTGATCTAGTTTTAGCAGTTAGATTAATTGAAATCTGAGCTAAAATTTGGAAGCTGGACGTAATCCCATCTGACTGGTCTCGATCACTGACCGTCCTAATTTATAAGAAAGGACAAAAATCCTCTTGCTACAATCACAGAGTAATCAGTTTAACTAATACATTGTCTAAAATACTGGCCCCAATAATGCTTTGGAGTGTAACTAGAGCTTGTGAAGAGCGAACCTGATAAAAGGAGACTGGTTTCAGACCTAGGAGTGGATGTATAGACCGAATATTCACCCTTCGGCAGATTACGTAACATAGACATGCTTCTCGACATCCAACTATAGTTGTATTCCTTGACCTTGAGACGGATTTTGACTGCGTTAATCGTGAGGCTCTGTGGCAGTGTCTGTCATTGAAAGGCATACCAAAGAAGTACAATAACCTTGTTCGACTTCCCTGCTGGCACGCAACTGGTTGAATAAGGGGTTATGATGAACTTTAACCGGGATTGGTTACTCGCAGTGGCGTTCGTCAAAGTTGTGTGCTTTCTCCATTATTATTTAACTCTCTCATAGACATGCTTTTAGAGATAACACTTTCCTCGTCTGACGTCTCAGGGTATATTCTACCAGGAGACACACTTGTTGACTTAAAGTATGCAACTGATGTATTTCTGTTTAGTGAAGACGTAGTCAAAACGCAGTCATCTGACCACCTTAAGCAACAATGCATGCATGTTTTGAATGCGGTTTCCTTCCTCAAAATGCAAATTGTTACTTCAGGATTGATAGGGAGTGAAGTACTTGAACCGACCGACCGGTTCACTTATCTTGGGAGTCCTATCGGTACGGATGATCTGGTGTCTGACGAAATCTCGGTACGGATTCAGAAGGCTCAATTGGTCTTTCCCAACTTCTGTCACTTGTAGTGTAAGCGAGATATTCGTCTTTTAAATAGACGGTGAGTTTACTGCTCAGCGTTTCTCTCCGTTCTGCTTTATAGATGTTGAACATGGCAATTAGTAGTAGAGGATATTCATAGGTTACTGGTATTCGTTCATAGATGTCTACAAAGGATTGCTCGTGTATTTTGGGACTACGGAGTGAGCAATGGTCGAGTCAGGAATAAAGCACTTGGCAAAGATGGGGCATCGATTAATGAAGTATCAAATCTTCATAAACTGAGGTGGTTGGAACGTGTGATATACATGCCCAACCACCGCTTACTTTGACGGACGATGTTTTCCGGTGCGGGAGTAGACGGAAGAAAAGACGGGGGTGGCCAAACGAAAACATGGTATGAGTCCACGAAGTATTATAGACTGCTATTTATAAAAAACATCGCGGTATACTGACTTCATTAAGAAACAATGGAGGAACAAATAAGGAATGAACCACGGAATATAAGTCCTCCATTTGATTTCGTATACTGTATTTAGGCTAATCCTGTTTAAGCAACGGTGGTAATAAACTTCAAATACGAATTAAGTTCGAAGAACGTTTTTCGGACATTCCTTTATTCAAACAGGCGATGAGAGATGTGAAACGGAGAAGGGAAACGTGCCTACTCAATTCCATTAAAATATAAGTTAGCACATACGGGTATGAAAGATATAAGCAAGTGTATAGATATACATACAACCATACACACATTTCACGATCACATTCGTAAATGAAAAATGAGTGGGAAGATCGGAATAGGTTCATCTATCCAAAAGTTAGCATGAATTATGCAAGCAAGTAACAATACTAACTGCTACAAACTATGTATACCACTGTATAGCTTAAGAAAATAACATGGTCGAAAGGAGAATCATATTCCCTCAGTTGTCTCTAATTCTTCAATGACACAATGGGTTTCTTTCTTTATTTGACCTTTCGGATACTATCAACTGGATGACCCCAGGCAGACAGCAGTGGATGACCTGCAGAACAAGGTGTATATAATTGATAACGATCCAGAGTTTCTGACTGCTGTCTCAATTTTTGAACGATTGCAAAGACCGTATTCTTCACATTCATCTATATTAGCAAAATGTGTAACTAATGCGAATAATATTGGCAGCTTAGTTTTCTCGACCTCGGTTAAGTGTTTGAAGAGTGTAATACTAATATGAATAAAAACCAGTTTAAACGCGTCTTATTTTGATATTAACTATTCAACCATATATTAATGCATTATCATAGACTCTCAGAATCTTCATGAATTGGGATTTGTCCATTTGTAGATTTTTTGGCTTCATTTTAATAAGATTTTTTCACACTCCGCTCCATATCATAAGTATTAATTTGGACAGTAAATAGCGACTTCCAGACATGCTATACGATTTTAATTTTGGTTTTTAAAGTACTTGGTTGTTAACCAGACTCACACTCTACATAGTGTTATAATCCCATTTGACTATGTGATCACAGTTTGCTCTTAACTGGATGACTCATTAATACTAATACTGCACTGGAAATGGAGTGTACGCAAATCACTTGATTATGTGTTTCACGCATCATAATGAAGTGCATAACAGATAGTTAATAGGTTGAGAATTAATTGAAAAAAAGAAATAACACCTCACCAATCAGTGACGAATAAATCAGCCCGCTGCTCATCACTATAGTATGGGTAGCCTGGTTGTATGTATCGTCAATCTGCACAATTGAGATGAGTCTCTAAGTTGAATATACGAATCTCTACCTATAAAATGAACTAAATTAAAGAGTTTAGACCTTAGAATTTCACATAGTTATATATCTGCGTTAGAATAAGTTATATTTGTAGTTTGGTTGTACTCGACCTTTGTTCACTGGATCTATGTTCATCAACACGGACACATACTTTCAATTTTGACTGATAGGTGAGTTATCATTGTCCTCATACAATAGGTGTGGCATATGATCTAGAGCTTAAACATTAATTTTTGGCTTCTGAGTCTCATTCACTACTCTGCTATAAATGTAAGCTCACTACTTCCTATTTATAATTCAAGTTTCTTCCTGTATGGAATTTAAAAAATTGACATAAAATTGTTTTTTTTTAAGTGTACTATGGTTAAATACTTATTTTTTTGTCGACTTAAAGAAACTGCCTATTTATTTTTATTACTTAACATTAGGGTGTGGTACCATGAGGTAGTGTTTTCTTTTATATAAAATAAGGGAGTTGCATGTGTGTGTGTATTTAATCCATATAGACCATATATCCCCTTTCATGATGATCCTTTTTTATTTCAGAAAGTTTCATCATTGGCTCTGTCTTCCCTTATTTTGTAGGAATTGGAAAATTTAAACTTTAATTGTTTTCTTCCAGTCCCTTAGTGATGTAGTTGTTAAAGTATTTTCTAGCACCATCCCATTACAAGCCAATTAACTTGGTTGAACATATTTGTGTGTAATGTACTTACTACTTATATATTCATATATATATACAGAGGATTTTAATGTAGATAATGATATACTTCTTTACAGTGGTCTTCAATATTCTCACGACCATTATATATATATAATATAAACAAAAGTTGTAAGGAAAGTTATGCATCGTTATTTGTATCATGCAGAGGAACCTAGTATCATCTAACTTGAATAAAGTATTTTGTAACTCATACGAAGATCGTTTCAAAATTGCAAAGAAAAGTTATATTTGATCTATACTGGGTGTCTTGAACGCTCTACAGTCAAGGTTTACAGAATAACACGAGTTCATCATATTCCAAGGCTTCTTATCACTTTCAAATGGTCTAAACTTTAGTATTACCATTATAAAAAAAATTATCGCTTTATGCTAAATTTATCAAGGAATAAGGATTTGTGTAAGTTCTACAGTCAGTCTAAATAAATTACTTTATAGCCATATATAGTTATAATTCCTGGTTGGTAACTTAATTCGTAGATGCGAGGATTTCGAAAGTAATTCGTAGAATGATTGTAGTCTTTTAAAATAATTATTTTCCCTCCTTACACGGCATACTTCTAACGTGCAGTACTTACTGTTTCAAAGATTCTCTGATTTCTTCTAGTCTTAATACTGCGTCACTGTAAAGTGCTCCTAAAATGTTTACTACATACTGATCGAGTTCACGGAAATTCTTGCTTCAGACTGCTGCCTGCCTCTACCATTGAATCAAATTGATTCTGTGTTTAAAAGTATTAAAGGGTTTTGAGAGATTGTTGAAGAGTTTGGGAAGCGAGTGAAGAAAGTAAAAAGATTAGAATGTTATATCACTCTACTTCAGATTCTGCATGGAATCACCAATACTGAGGGAAGTGACGTGCGATACCTCGGAACTCAGGTAGATTAGGTCGATATTTATTCTGAATATGTAGGAAAAACAACAAAGACGTTCCTGTAGTTACTATAAGATGAAGTAACAACCTTTGATTATGGAGTTTCCTGTTAGAAGATCCACTGAACACAGTAAACTCAATATTGCTCAAATTAACTGACAACAATATTGATCGGTAGATGATCCTAACTAACATGAGTTTATTTATTCTGAAAAACCAATCTCGAAAGTAGACTAACTTTTATATTTTAACATTCATAATAAGACACTTGTTTTCCTATTTTTGACAGTTTCAAATCAACCAACTTCATTAAGTGTACAATATTGTGGTATGAATTCATGTCGGTTAACATGGCTTCCACCAAAAGAAGGTTATGAATGGGGTACATTAATTGAATATCGTGTCTTCTATTGGAAACAGGTGACACCAAATTTAGTTAATAATATCACAGTACAAGCAAATGTTCAAGACTGTTTATTATCACAGTTGGAGAGTGGGACTATCTATTATGCAAAAGTAAGTTATCTACTGTTAAACTTATATTGTAGTCTCAATGTGTAAATAACGTTGTAATTAGTTGATATTTATTCAGTTCACATTCATATCATAAATGAAGGTTATGTTCTTGTGTAAATAAAGCGTATAATTTCGCTATTTTCCTATATCTGAATTTCAAGGTTGATACTGACTATAATAACTATTAAATATTTCACTTGGTTATACTTTACATTTAAACAAACTTCGAGTTATGTACAAATCTGCAATATTTTTAGCGCAAATTTATTAATAAAACATTTCGTACACATAGTTCCCTTTATCATTTTGAAAAGAGCAAGAACAAAGATTTAGTAAACATGCATTTTTGTGTCAGGCGGGTGGGGTGGCGTTGTGGCACACTTAATCATCAGACTTAAGTATGTAACTTATGTATGACTTGTGTATGTAACCTTAAGTAATCAAGCCGCACCCCTACATTGTTTCGTTAATAATAGTTAGTCATTTTTGACTAGTTCAACTTTCCTTTTTTGTATCATTATGTTATAATATTGTTTTGTGATTGACCTAATTCTTTGAAATTGCTTTCACATTTTTTGAAAATAAAAAAACTCAACACATGTAACACTTAGGTTCAAAGTGTATTTACCTATGGTTCGGCGAGCTCAGAGATTATAACATTTAATACATTAACTCAGTTCAGTGTTCAATTAGTCAATCGCTCATATTCAGAAATTATGATTCAGTGGAATTTCAATCAAATAGCATCAATGTTTACTGTACGTTATGTTTTGCTTTTTTTAAATAGACATTTTTGTAGTATTTTTATGAAACGTAGATATATTGCTTATATTATGATCATGATAAATATTTCAAGTGTTTCTCGTTCACGAACGTCGATTGATATGAATAAAGCATTGTATAGATTAAATAAGAAAACAACATGGTCCGATGCTTGTGATTTCGGTCAATTTTAACCGCGTGGTTAAACTATCTGTGTGTAGGAGGAAGAAAAATACTGCATAGAATGTCTTATTGTTAAAAGTAATAAAATAGCTTTAAAGCTTGTGGCCTAACAAAGATATACCGGCGATGACTTTGGCTGGATTAATAGTCTACTTACACAAAGAATAATTTTAATTTATTAAGTTGTTCATATATATTGGAAGTAATTTTTCTATGTGTTATCAATAGTTTACATCAACAAGGGGGTTACTTAAAACAATGAAGTACACATTCACCACTCTTTCTGGGGTTCGAACCTATAACCTTCGCATTTCCTGACAAGTGTGATATTTTCAAATGATTAAATTAGAAGCAATTAACAGTGTTATATGTAAAGAGGTTATTTTGACTACCCTCTGTTTATCTGTTTATTTTGTAAGAGTAAAGCTCACCTAGGGAAGTTGGTAATAGTAAAATTCTTAAGCTGGTCTGTCTTGTAAGTTATGTTATTTTAATTGTATAGGTTGTGTCATGGCTACTGTCTTAATGATTAATTATACCCCTAGTTAAATTTAATTAAAACACCGATTGATATTCGAAAAATAAACCTGGTCTAAGCTACAATAATTTACAGTTTTCCCTCGTTTACCATTTAGTGATTGCATTTTAATCATTTATATCAATATTACCATAGTGATTTTGTTGTCATTAGTGATAATTACACTGAACAGTTAATTACAGTCTATTTTAGTCTCATTATTTGTAAAAAAGAATAAAACCAACTGTTATTTGACCTTGGATTGTATAATACTTTTGTACTGTTTTACTCTGAAGTAGTTGCACACTATTATTTCCTTATTTTTTACGACATTATGAGGAATATTAAACTAAAATTCATTAAGTCTTAATGAATAATGTAATGATATCAAGGGACTTATTTTAGTGAGTCATACCTTGAATGTAACCTTCGAATATATATATATATATATATATATATATATATATATATATATATATATATATATATATATATATATATATATATATATATATATATAATTCATCTTGCATACATATAAATGGGTGGAATCTATATTTAAACATTCGACTGCATTAAATCTCATCTTCTCTTTCATTCAATGATTGAATCCGAGTGTTATTATTTGGATGAATAATATGAATGAACTTTCTATAGTTTTCTTTTTGTTTATAAATATGTATTGGAAACAAAACGTCTGGTTTATTGTTTGCTGACTTGTTTTATTTATCCACTTACTTTGCATATATATATATATATCGCATATTATTTCGTTGAGGATGAGGATTGGCATATTTTAATTCATTATATATGAAATGCGATTCTATAGTAAAAACATAAGGCATTGATAATGAGCGTGTATTTAAAACAACACAAACAAACAAACGGGTCGTATAAAATTAGGCTGAAAAAAACTATGGATTTGTATTTGTGAATCAATATTGATTGATTATATCATGTTTAGAGATTTATTCAACTTGTAGATCATTAGCGTTGATGATTTTTGTCGAATGAATAGGGGGAAGGGGGCTAGTCGAGTTAGACGGGAATTGTATGACCAATAGCTAACTTCGAATTTACACCTTACGGTCAGCACTGAACGTGGTTTATTCCTTCGTCATATCAAGGTATTATTTCTGCTTTAAAGAAAGTATAGCACAAAAGGACGTTATTACAGAAATATATATTAGTTACAGTAGGTACGAGGGAAAGTGTGATCATCATCACATGGGCCAGTTCATGGCGTACGATTAACTGATGCGCGTTGGTTGTCTTTGATCTTGACAGGGATCGATAGTCTGCTCAATATTCATTGACCCAACTGCCGGATGATTTGTCTAGGGCTCAGTGACATTCCACTGGCCCTACAAATGTAATGAATGTCTGCATAGGTTGAATTAGCTACTTAGTTAAAAAGTTTTGTATTTTTTAAAAATATTTGTTCATTTGCTTTAAAAAAAGCATTGAATTTAACTGGATGATTGATTGAGATAGTGAAAACCTGAGTTTTTGGAGAGTATTGTATCACGAGCATCAGGGGATTGAACATCGAAATCTGACTGTTAAACAGTTTTTGATTTCACTTATTTCACTGTTTCATTTTGTTGTGATTAATTGCAAGGGATCGTCAGAATGTTCCAAACCAAGGTTTTTCTTATCAATAAAACATCTACAATCCAAATGCAATGAATCCTTTCTCAAAGATGTGAACCTACTGAACCAGGCATTGCTATCATCAGAGGCATTCAAGTCATAGCTGACAACTTGTAGATGGAATGACTCATATTTTTCTGTCATTAGATCGTAACTAGTGGATGCAATGCAAAGTTCACAAATCCCATAAAACGAATATCTCATCAAAAATAATCTTTGTTTTCAATGATTGCAATTTCAATAGACTATACAATCGTATTCATATGAAATGGTTGCTATGTTTACATGTTCATATGTATGTTTATGTGTATATTGAGTAGAGTTCGTTGAGTTCAGTTCATAGTAGTGGATACAACTGATTTATAAATGAAGTCATCCGACAGTTGAAAAGATATAGGAGACTTAAGGTCAAAGGTATAAGTATGTAGTGAACGTTTATGGCGTGAATATTTTTCTCTCAAGTGGATGAGATGTGAACAACGTTTAATTTAAGGGTAATAATGATAATAGTAAGGAATGGAAGTAGCTAATTTTGGTGAAAATACTTACTTACTTACGCCTGTTACTCCTCGTGAAGGAGCATAGGCTTTGGTGAAATATGCCCGAATATAATGCATCACTAGGAAAAGATTACAGATCATTTTGTGTTTTAAACAGTAACTAAATAGAAGAATATCAAACGACTGTAAAAACTTCCATAGAATGGATGGATTGTGGCCAACAGTAAAATCGAGTACTCATGTTTAGTCCATTATGAAGCTCATCAAATTCAAACTTCTATAGTCTGGAAAACGTTGGTGATGACTATTGTAGTGTCGGTTATTATGTTAAGCCCATATATCTTATTCTAGCTTTCGGACAGCCCAACTATTCATTCTACTAGAGTCACATTCTGACCTTGTTAATTATTCGTTATCAATCTCGACTGTTTTTATATGAGCGCGTAGGTGTGTGTACATTTCTTATCCCCACTACTCATCACATGTATGTAACTTACTTTAGTGTAACTATAAGTATTGATTAACGCTTGGTTAAATGGGGGTTGGCTTACCAGCCGTCTTCACTCCGCGTCGTTTCTCTTCTCTCTATTCCATTCGCTTTATATGCAAAATACATGTATTCACAAGTCCATTCTCGTTATTTGACTTATTGCATTCCGTTATTGACTAACGCGATTTAAGTCGATGATTATATACGAGGATAGGTGATAACAAAAAAGGTTAGAATGTGACTCAAGCAGAATGAATAGAATGGGCTGTCCGAAAGCTAGAATAAGGTATATGGGCTTAACATAATAACCGACACTACACCAGTACCCTCCGCCAAAAAAACATTAACGTGTTATCCTTTAAACTATGGCGTTTAATCAGCTACTCACTTGTCCAAGTGGAGTGATGTGCGTACCATTGTTGTAGGATTTTGAATTATTCTTTTGTTGATATTTAGAACTGATTTTCACTCAGTCTTTATTGACGAATGAGCATCCTGTACGGATATTATATAAGTTGTTTCTAGATGCATAGATTTGGTTATAGTAGATTATCTGTAGCTAATGTTTCTAAAATATGAAGTCGATTTATGTGTTACACCTTTCAACTGGTTAGATTTGATTTTATAGATAATGTGAAATAATAATGAAACTGATGCGACGTGGTCGATAGCCAACTACATGTTACATAATAGATTTTATAATTCTGCGTTGTCCTGTAATGATTCATGCTAGGCATATGGCCTCTAATGCACGGGGATATATATATATATATATGCCTTATTTAAAGTATTTCATTTAGGTGAGGGTATAACACCTGTCCAGTTACAACCTAGTTTAAAATAGCTATTTGATTTATATGCATCGTGATAAAAAATTGTCTTCAGATAGGAATGCATAATACCATATATTAAACATAATCTAATGTTTATCTAACGACCACATTCAAAATGATTTCTTGAAGCTTCTAGTGAAGGGTTGTAATCTGTGGAGTAAACCAGATCGGCAAGTGAGCTACATCTGCCCAACAATTTCATTAATGAATAATGAGTATTGTGGGATATTGCTAATTGACCGAAGTTGCGGAGTTTGGAGCAGTAGGTACTAACTTATTGGTTGAGTGGTATAGTGTTCCCCACAGAACCTAAATGGTACTATTGAGTTAGTTCAACCTAAGGCAAGTCAGCCATCTAGTACTTCTTGGTTTTCAGAGTTTCGTCCGTCGCTGACAACTTATATCAAGAATCACTATCAAACATGATAGTACTATCTTATAAAAATTGTTCACCCTTTTTCGGTTACCTTTTTTTCCTAACTACACACTATGGAAACGTTAAGTAAGCTACTCAGTAAAAAGTTAACCTGAATTTTCCTAAATTGATTTTGACTACATCTGTGGTGTGTGTGTCTATGATACTATCACAACATATAGGACTATTCCTGATAGTAATTTATATGATTATATCCAGTTTTCTTTTACAATCATAATGATTATTTCTTTATACTGTATATTATTTATTCTGTAATGTTTGTTAAGCAATTAAGTGGCTACTTAATTCCATAGATTTCGTTTAAATATGTAATCAAAGTACATTTTCTTTAATGATTATTACACAGTATAGGAGCTGATTGATGCTTGTATTATTTTCTCATTGTGACTGGCTGCTAATAAAGATAGGATTTTCTTCTACTCACTTCGGTGTAATTTACTTAATACGAGTATTTTTGCGTGTGTACATGTAGTAGCTTTGCTTCGTTAATCGATCACCTCGATAACCGTTATAATATGAATCTCAACGGTGATTAAAATCAGAAGGCAATGAGAAATGACAACTAGTTTAAAAGCGGATAGCGTAGATCACAAAGCTATAAACACATCGAGAGTATTTGAAGCGGAGAGGTGGATAGGTATATACGAGCAATTACATAGGCAAATTTGTAATCAAATCATATAAGGGCAAGGCAAAGCAAGAACTAATAATAGGATTTGAGTACATATATACATGGGGAAGAGGATGAATCATCGAGTGATATTTAAGCAATCAACATTTTTAGCTAAAGCCTGTCATGTAATCTAGTGATCATAACGGTATAAAGAAATATGCAAATTGTTACCGTTCAATTAACATCAAGTAAGTTAATAAAAGGGCTTAACCATAATCGAAATTGGTTGTAGGATAGTTGCTATATGCATTTATGTATTTGTAAAAAGGTTGTAACAAGCATTCTGTATTAATTTGACTGAACCGTATAGAAAATTAAACTGGAAAATGTTAAAGCATTTTCTTTCGGAATAATAGATTCGGTAACATAAACTATTACAGAAAAGATAGTTTTAGAAAAGTAATGGACATTTACTTCGGGATTATTTATTTGATAATTCATAGGGCGACGTTATATCAAAGATGTTTGATATAACTACTGAACAAATGAGTTTGGTTGGTTGTTTTTTCTCTCCGTCTCCGACTTGACTTTACACTGAATTAACTGATCACATCTGTTGTAATGGTAACCTTCTATTTTCATGACACCCATGTTATAATTAAATATTGATGATTATTTAGTGCTTAGTCAGTAATAACTAGCTTCCAGAATAACTCACAAGTTAAACGAATGACTGTTATTTGTGTTGCGAGTAAAGGCTGTTTCTGGTTGATGAAAATAAATGATGACTGTTATTATACATTGAAACGTTTTAACTATATTGGAGGTCAAGGCTGGGTCGAATAGCTTAGTGTTAGCATCTTCATCTGTGAAAATACGTAACTTGAGTTTGAAACATTTGAAGATTATGAGTACACCTTGCTAGTGAATATCAAATATCACGAAACGTCGGTTTAGGGTATCCTACCAAGTATCTCCAAGCTTACTCTTCATCTGCTGCATCGAAAAACTTCTTTCACATGTTTTTATCTGTGAACACTGTGACATCGTCCGGTTTAGCTGTCGCTGGTGTCTCAATAAACTCTAGGGCCGAGGCAGCACTAATCGATTGAATCCCCATTAACAGTTGATTATGAGCTGTTAGATTAGAAGGTTCCAGCAAAGTAGTAAGAAATCGGTATGACAAATGATGTCTTTTCGTCATTGCCGTATACGTTACGACAGGTTGCAGCTTGGATGCAACCAAGGTTGAGTCTTACCATCAGTTAAGTTTTCTTCTACAGATACTTTAGGGAGTTGGGCGCACATGTCAGGCACCTAGGCATAGAGAAGATTCGTTTGAGTAGCCAATGGTGACTTGCTTGTCACAGGTCAGATAACAGTATCTGTCTACTGTACCTTTGCTCAGACAACAACCTCTTTCTGACCAGCGACCTTCTCTTTAAGTAGCTGACCGAGTTCTTTGCAAGTATCTAGAAATTAGAGTGTTCCAACATCGATAGTTGTATTAGCAGAGTTCACGTCACCCATTTGCTCCCTTTATTATTGAGGCTACTCGTGAATATTTAAGTAGCTGAAAATGCATATCACAATTTTGCGTGCGTTGTAAACATGGTTACATTGCCATTGGATGTTTGTCCATGTGGAGTTCAACCGGTCTGTTGTGAGATAACAACTCACTGAAGACAATGGTGTACGGTGGCGCAACTTCGTGGATTGGTTGAAGTTAGACATTAACACCGTTTTATTTATTTGTATATATATGTCATAAAATTAAATGAGTTGCCTTAAATAGTTATTGATTGGCAAGTTCAAATCTCATGGCTTCTGATAGCTCTTTGCCATGGCACAGTGAATGACATTAATTCATTTTAAAATTCATAGGTTTACTCAGTGTCTACTATCCATAATGTTGCGTGTATACAGTTTTTTATTTCATACTATTTACTAATGATATTTTGGCATATTTTATCTTTTAATTCACTATAGATCTCTGTAGAAATGATTGAAACACTACTTCCGTTTACTCCAGTATTTTCAAAAAGAATTTTTAATTTGTTAGATGGTAGTAGTGGTGTTCATCTATATAAAATTTCTAATTTACCTGCTAGTTCTCGATTTCGGATTATTGTAGATGCGATTGGAACTAACAGTAAGTGATATTAAAATTGTTAATATTCATTTTAGAACGTGTATGTTCAATTTTTTTGATTTCAGCTTTGGAGTTTAGTTATTGGTGAATCATAAGTTGATTTTCATGGATCTCTTTTACTGCTTAGTGAACCAATTTCACTATTTGCATCAATGAAAAGTTTAGAAGATCCACATAAGATATGAGGACAAAGAGAAGAGCTGACATAGCTTCAGGTCAGCATCTGATTGTGGCTAAGATGAAACTGAAGCTAAGGAAGCAATGGACAACCGGGGAAACAGCATTATATAGGTTCAATACAACATTCCTTCGAAACACTAACAAACTCAACCAGTTCAAGATAACTCTCAACAACAGGTTCCAAGCCTTACAAGATCTACTCAAAGAAGAGAAAACTACTACGGAGAACAACTGGAGAGGGATCATCAACTAACTTCAATATGTTAAGAGATTCTGGGCTGTAAGAAGCATCATCATAAGGGATGGATCTTTATCGAGACCCTGAACAAGATTCAATAACGGAGGAAAAAGAAGACAGTAATTAACAACAGCCAAAGAATAATAGGGAAAGTCAAGGCACAAGGTGAATACACTGAACCAAACAAGCAGGTGAAGAGGAGCATTAGAAGCGACAAGCACAAATACGTGGAAGAGCTAGCAACGACAGCGGATAGAGCTGCAAGAGAAGGAAACATGAGATAACTATATGAAATAACGAAGAAACCAGCAGGGAAATAAAGGAAACCAGAAAGACCGATCAGGGAGAAAGAAAGTAAGACAATCAGTGAAACTCAAGGACGGAGGAACAGATGGGTAGGATACATCGAGGAACTCTCGAATAGACCAGCTCCACTGAATATCAAAGTAGCACACACAGACCTTCCTATAGATGTCGCTTTACTAAGAGATCAGGATGACCAGTCATCAGACAAGCGAGACCTGAAAATATACCAGCCAAAGCAATGAAGTCAGACAAAGAAGTAACTGCAAACATGCTCCACGTTCAGGGAGATTTGAGAGGAGCAACAAGTACCGATGGACTGGAAAGAAGTATACCTCATCAAGATGCCGAAGTAAGGAGATCTGAGCAAATGTGTGAAATACAAGGAATCACACTACTATCAAAATCAGGAATGGTTTTCAACATAGTGTTGCTGAATCGGATGAAAGATTCAGTATACATCAAGGTTTGAGATCAACAAGCTGGATTCCATAAGGATAGGTCGTGCATAGACTAAATCGCGACACTATGGATAATCGTTGAACAATCAATTGAATGGAACCCGTCACTATACATCAAATTCTTTGATTATGAGAAAGCATTTTACAGTGTGGATAGGAGGACATTATGGAATCTTTTTCGACAACATAGTATACCAGATAAGATCGTCAATATCATCCGGAATTCTTACGATGAACTACAGTGCAGAGTGGTGTAGGACAGCCAACAGACGCATTCCACGTGAGGACCAGAGTCAGACAAGAATGCCTACTCTTTCCCTTTCTCTTTCTTTTGGTGGTTGACTGGATTATGAAAACCTCGACATCTGAGGGGAAGCATAGAATACAATGGACAGCTTGGGTGCAACTTGACTATTTGGACTTCTCAGATGACCTGGCTTTCCTATCCCATACACACGAACAAATGCAGATGAAGATAGTTGGTGTAGCATCAGCCTCTGCATCAGTAGGCCTCAACATACACAAGGGTGAAAGCAGCATCCTGAAATACGACACCGAGAACACCAACCCAATCACATTTGATGGAGAAACTCTGGAAGATGTGGAAACTTCTTAGCTGCCCTAAATCTGAATTCAGTTCAATCGTATGATTGGTTGTTATTGAAACATACATGCCAATCCTCGTATATAATTATCGACTTAAATCACGTTAGTAAATAACGGAATTAAATAAGCCAAATACGAGAATGAATTTCGAATACTTATATTTCATACAACCGTTAATCTAGACAAACGAGCAAAGAAACGAAGAGAAGAGAGCGGAACAAAATGACGTGCAGTGGAGAAGGCGTGTGAGCCAACTCCATATAACCATGCATTAATCGATATTTATAGTCTCACAAAAATACGTTGCAGACGTGATGAGTAGGATAAGAATCGCACATACGCTCATCCAAAAACACTCAAGGTTGATAGGCGATAATTGGCAAGGTCAAAACGTGATTTAAAAAGAATGAATTAATTGGCTTATCCGGAAGCCACAATAAGCTATGTGGGCTTAATATAGCAACTGACACTACAACTTACACGTACCAGAACAGCATCATCGATGAACAAAGAGAATCTGATTTAGATGTAAAGGCAAGAATTTTTAATGCAAGGGCGGCATCCCTTCAGTTGAAGAACATATGGAACTCAAAACAACTTTCAGTCAATATCGAATTCAGAATCTTCAATACGAACGTCAATATAGTCCTACTGTACGGAGATGAGACGTGGAAAACTGCTACAATCATCATCAGACAATTAAGGGCATTTGTAAACAGTTGTCTACGCAAGATACAGAATGTCCGTTGGCCGAACACCATCAGAAAAAGCTAATGTATCAGAGTACAGACCAGCTTCCATCTGAGGAGGAGGAAATCAGGAAAAGATGTTGGAAGTGGATAGGACATACATTACGGCAATCATCAAACTGCATCACAAGGCAAGCCGTAACTCGGAATTCTCAAGGCTAAGGGAAAAGAGAACACTTTGTTCCGGAAATCAGAAGCAGATGTCAAAGGAATCAACAGCACTTAACAAAACTGGAAAGGAGAACCCAGGACATTGCAGGTTGGAGACTCCTGGTTGGTGGCCTATGTTCCTCGAGAGTAGCAGATGGAATTAAGTGATGCCCAATTTCATATTGAACAAACCTTAATGTTTACATAATTTTATCTGCTAGGTTCACAATAGAGCTATTTAGATGACTGTCTAGATATCACTGTACAATCTTTATGTGCGGTGTATCTTGGAGATTCTTACAGGAGTTATAAAAAATTCTCAGTTGGTCTAATAATAATGTGGGTTCTAGTCGTCTTTTAAGAAGCAGATACACTCAGCTAATGAGTTCAGGACGAAACAAAAACCCTGATAACCCCTATCCAACAGCATTATTATTTCATGGAATAATAGTAGGGAATCCACTGACAAAAGAACACTTATACGGACGTTGGATGGTCACTTTGTTACAACAGCGAGCTAATCTCGAACAATGTTAGAATTATGAGAGCATTTGTCACTCCTTGGTTGTACATATCATGGAAAGATAGTTCTTCTGAATGAGACTGAAACGTGAACTATGTTAAGAGTGATCATGGCTACCTGGGAACATCACTGAAGTATCCAAAGGACAACTTCCTGAGGCCGGTCGCACATGAATTTTTTGTTAGTTGCTTTAGACTCTTTAGCTCTGTAATTATATAAGGCCCTATCAGCGGCTGGAAAGATCCGTAATACAAAGTAAGGATTGGTATTTTTTTAGCTGATCTTTTTGTAATTACCTCCGTTATGAGGAGGTAGCATCGCTACTGATGCATGATATTTGGAAGGAACCCTTTATTACCGTCACACTTCAGTTCAGCCGGTAGTACAAATTCATCATCGAACCATGAGTATGATGCTTTTAGTCATATAGCTCTTCAGCCGAATTACTTTGTTATGGCAGAACTTAACAGAAAATATTTTCAATCCAATATAGTTTAATCGCGTTATCGTAATATACAATCTCGACCATCATTTTCAGGCAGCATTTATAGTGTCGAGAATAACAAGACAGGATAATTATTGTTTATGTTGTTTAATTTCAATGTAAAAGATTGCAGGAAACCTTATTTGATTGATGTTAGACAACAATTAACATGAATGTATGTTTTCACAGTTGATTTCATCATGAATCGATCACCATTTAAAACCTGGAAGCATTAGAAACCATTTCATCCTAGTATGGGACTCAGTAGTGCGCATTTATGATCCTGCGCATGAACAATTAACCTCTAGATCATTGAGCCTACAACCAATGGTGTTAATGTCAAATTTCAGTCTAGCTTAGATTGACTCATGATTCCAACTGGGAAAATACTACAATCTCCACAAATTCGCATGCTGATGAGGATATGTGTATTTTATAAGATCAAAGCAAATAAGAAATATTGAGTAGTAATTTACAGAAATTCTTTCTAGGTGTTTTTATATGCTTTAAGAGGTCATCAGTATCAGTATCATCCTATTTCTCTTAATAATGAATTTCTTAACAATACAGTTTTTCATACGGATGCTATGGTTGACCGCATCACACCACAAAATAGGAAATAACATTTGTGCAAGATCAAGTCAAAAAGTTGCTGTGAACATGGGAGACGGTAGTTAATAAACTGAACATAATTTAGGAACAGTAAATCGTATAATAATGATCTATATATCAAAATGAAGCTTATAATAAAGGGAATATAGATATACACAACCTAGTTACCGAATAGTTATACAATAAGAATATATATAGATAATATTAGTTCATTAATAGATCTCAGAAGTTACTCGTAATTTAATCTTCATTAGGATATAACAGATAGTTTATAAGATATAATACATGTGTAAATATCTTTCTAAATATACGTAAGATCTTTGAATAGGTTTCATCTGAAACAATTTCCAACTGTACAACTCTTTGAAAATTAAGAATGTTAAGAATAAAATTTTTAGAATTTGATCTGTAGACTTATTTGAATATGATATCGGATTATAAATTTGTCAACGAATAGATTATTTTTTCTATGATTTTAGTATCAAAATCTGTTATCTAACTGTTTTGCCGTGAATAAGATTTATTAAGTAAAACACAAATGACTTAAACTTCATATCTCGTAGTGACTAATTTTTTTCTCTTCCTTCTTTGGAGCAATGTTCATTGATTAAGTTATATTAATTTTTATAGTTGAGATCATGAGTCAATTGAGGCTAGATAACCATGGGAAACCAGGAAGCACTGGACGGCCGTTTCGTCCTATTGTGGGACTCCTCAGCAGTGCGCGTCCACGATTCCGCCTCACGAGATTGGAACCCAGGGTCTATCAGTCTAGCGCCAGGCGCTTAACCACTAGACCACTGAGCCGTCATCCAACGGTGTTAATGTTCATAGGTGTAGGAATATCGCTTGTCGGTGATTGCCAATTGTTTATGTTATGTTATTATAAAAGATAGTAAGAATATTTCATTTTACACTGATAAACTAATTATATTAATTAAAGAATAAATATAAAATATCTAATGACAACTACACTTAATACACATGGTGATCATATGTTGATTTCATGGTTTTAAATTCACCAGTAAATAATTCTTCACAGATGATTGATTTTCTATATTCATTCTATTAAATCTAGCACAAATTTTGTTGGAAAATACACAATTAATGCAAGAAATACAGAAAATTATTGTAGCTCTGGAGTATCAAAAGAAACTTGTAATGACTTCATTTTAAAGAGATGCATTTTACGAGGAGTTTCACATAATCAACCTGATATTTATATATTTCTGAGACTCATTTGGTGTTATTGATTTGAAAAAAATTCATCTAAGTGACTTCAGTGGGTTCAAAATGTACTTATCTTGGTGAGATTTTTATCTTTGACGGAGTAGAGTACTGTGTATTCTGTCACAATCTCTCATTACCAAAGATATGAAAATCTTGGCTAATAAGTTTAAGGTAGAGTTCTCAATTAATTTCATTCTACATACACTTATCGTATATGGAAAGTATGTGTTACTTTAGAGAATTCCGTATCCTGGTAGTAAAGTTTCCCGAGTCAGTTTATTCATATCACAAAGTTATTAGAATGGATGTAGCCCAACTATAAAATGTTATAGATTAACTAAGTTTCAATTAAATTTTAATCTATGAAAATAAACTGCAATTCACTTTTAATTTGTGGTTACTATTGTTCAATTAAACATTTTTGCAAAATAATCCATTCTTTCAGATACATCAATTGGATCTTCGTTTGTGAATGTATGGACAAGTCCTGCTCCGTTTCAAAATTCAAGAAATTTTACCTTTAATCCAATAGTTCCAGTATTCAATGGTTCATTATTAGTGAATGTAAAATTTCCAAAATTCAGTGGTTATGAAGGTGGCCCATTGAATGGTTTCTATATTGTTGTTGAGAAAACTTCAAATACTAGTCGTAAACGACGTTCAGTTTGTGAGTTTTATTTTGTGTGTATTTGTTCAATATTTCTTGTGAATGAATTTTGCGTTATGATTATTTCAAATCAAGATAGATCGCTCCTTCATCACATAGTATAAATCTCCTAGTATGATACATTCTAACTGGTACTAATCAGTAGTCGTTATAAATCAATAAATGTACCCCACTTTATTTTTCATTTTACATGGTTTATTCATAACTAGTTTATCTTATATCTTCACTAAATTTCTGCTGAATTTTCCTGTTCGCCTACAATATTAGTGAATTTGTATTCTCACAGTTGAATTTACGAGTCGATCTAAACCAGATTACCAGTGAGAATCTGGAAGTACTGGACAGCTGTTTCTCCCTAGTGTGAGACTCCCCATAAGTGCACATCCACGATCCTGCACTAGAGACTCGAAGCCAGGACACTCGGTTTTGCGTCGTTGAGCACTACTGAGGAGTCCCATATAAGGGCGAAACAGCCGTTCAGAGCTCCCAAGTTTTCAATGATGGTCTAGCTTAGATTGACTCGTGAATTCAACTGTTAAAATACTACAATCTCCTTAAATCCCTATACCGATAATTTGTATTTTACCAATAGAAGACTAGTGTTTTTGACGGGTTTTTTTCAATCACAATAGGATGTTAATTCTATATTTATAAATTGACATAGAAGATTTATTACTGGTTCTGTTTTTAGAAGTAGATAAAAAAGGTTGAATGAATCAAGTGCTGAATTCATCTAATGAATGATGGTAATAATAAATTAATCAAATTAGGAACGGTTTATGGAGTAGGCGGGAATTAATTATTCTTCAGTGATAGACAGCTAATCAATGTAACTTCAAAAGGTAATTAATGATAACTGCTAATGTAGATATTGGGAATTACTATTAACAAGTTTGGATGAAGTATAATTCGTTTGATAAAACTGAACATTGGACAGTGTAAATGCAGTGTTTTATGTGACCTACTTTCTTTCTTCTTTATATGCGATGTGCTGATAGAAAGCTGTAGGAACTCAGGAGTATTTTGAATGTTAATCTTTGAATTAAATTCCCATAAGTCAAGTGTAATCTGCTAAGCAAAATATCCGAAATTTGCAGGAAAAGCATGGAGTAAATGTACTGTTTTGGTGTTAGGTGGTTTAAGGTAGTTAACAGAATACCCTAGACATAGGTTTCGTACTAGTTGAAAGTTGTAAGCAAGGTGTTTCTGAAATCTTGAGGGTACTGATGCTCCCGAATGGATTGAAGCTTCGCGTCATCCAACTTTACATTTCAGGATATTACGACTGAGCCATTCTGTGCGTTACTGACTTCTTGTAGGACTGATATACTTCCATTGATTGATCATTGAATAGTAGCCAATGTACATGTACCATTTACTATAAATGCTAGAAGAAAATGAAATAGATACCTAGAATTAATTTCGTTTAAACTTAGGTATCCCCCTGAATGCCCTGGTACAGCTAGGAGCGGGGTGAGCCAGCTCTCTCTCTCTCTCGAAATGCTATTAAGTGGCCACGTACATACAACCCCATTGCCAGGGAAGTCCTGCTCACTGCCTTCTCGTGATGTGGATGTTGTTTACGAAATTGGGAGTAAGAAAAGCAAATATCCGGCGCTTTAACCGGGTCGGTAGACACAGAGAGTCCACCTATGGGGATTGGAAAACCCTGATTCTAAACCAATGGTGTACATGGGCTCAAGCATTTTGAAGGAACAAATGACGTATGAACCAATTATTGATCACCGACTACCATGGGACTGCATCCACCGCTCCACTGCCTTGTGGATTAGATCTTTAGGTCAAAGGCTTTGGGCGTGACCCCCTAAGAAAACCATCTGCTTCGGTTTGGGCACTCAAATAGTATCCCAGCCCTCATATGGATCGAATGATTTATGTAGTGCATATCTGTTTGGTGCCTCATTATACCAATGTTTATGTGTTTAAATAAACAAATAAACTTAGGCAATTTAACGCCAAAACTCAAATGTACTATGTGGAGGTATCGTGTTCATCATATAACCAAAAGTCACATGTCAGAGTTATAATTAACAGTCGATAAATCCAAGTAACAACAGAACAGTTGTCCATTGTATGGTGATTTTCAATGATTCTTCATTCAACATCAGTGTTTAGTGAAAATTCAATTATTATTCACCCCCCCAATTTATTAATTTTTTATTGAAATCATATAACTTTATACATCAATCTAGTCATCCACCAAACATTTGATCAAATCTGTAATTGAAATATTATCTCTTCCATCCTATCTGATCTATATTTATTCTGATCATTATTCTCACAATTTCCTTTAGCTTATAAGCTTATTCAAGTTAACATTGAATCTTAGTCATTTTAACATTAGGAATTTTATTTTATATTACAAACAATTCTTAATTCACGTACGATACTGTTAAACAATGTACTTTGTCTTATACCTGACCACTTTTGAGATTTTACTTTGGATATCAAAACTGTAGAACCTGAAGAGAATATTCTTCGTTCGTATATCTGTGTTTTAATATGAAGGGGATGGGGTGTTTAAACATTATTTTCAGATTGATTTAATTATTCATTTTGTATTGTTTGTTTGAATCTCCCCATTGATGTTCAGGACCGCAATTAATCAGTCCTGTGCGAATTGCCTTGATGTCGCCTTAAGTCACAAGCCTTATGAGCAGAGATGGATGGTGGCTAGTAGTAGAATTCAAGACACGCGTTTTTTTCTATTTGGAACTGGTCAGCCGAATGTATCACTACAGGATATCCAGCTGATTATTTTCACATTTATTTAATTATATTTTAACCGTGAATATTTCTAAGTTTGAATAAAGCCAACACAACAATTGGGTCATTATATTTCATTGTTTCTCATCAGCAGCTTACAAACATATTTTTATTAAATTGTAGCACTGATATATGATTTCATATGGAACAATTGACATTGATTATGGGAAAAAATAACAAGGATAACAAAGATTCATTAATAACTCTGCGTGATCAGGTGTAAGGTCAGTTGGAGATGAACTTCAACATCTCAGTCCTACAGGAGGTCGGTCGCGGTTCGGATAGCTCAGTGGTAACGTCTCTGACTGTGAAGCTGGGTGACACGGGATCGAATCCGTCAGGAAGCACCGGTTCCTTCAAGATTACAGGTACACTTTGCTGACGAGTGCCAAGTAGCACAAAACCCGGGTCCAGGGTTTCCTGTTGACCACCTCCAACCACCATCTAATCTCAACATAGTGCACGCAATGCCGAGTCACCTAGACTGGTGGCCACATTGCAACTCGATCGATAGCATTCGATCTGCATTAAGAAGGACTGGAAACACATGACATTGATCATCACCAAGTGATCAATCAATTGTGATGAACTTCAACAACATCGGAGGGTGCAGTCCAGAGATCGATAAGATTTCAAGTTTACTTAAGTTTCAGGCCAATTGGGAATAGATATAAAAGACATGGAGCAATGAGGTTGGTAATTATCTGGAATTTATAATTGATAGGATGGGTTACGTAGTCGTTATAAAAAAACTTTCTGTAAATTAAATGAATAGGGTGGATGAAAAAGCAGATGAATGAAAGAATAACTTTAGCTTAAATCAACTAATAATTATTGTAGTTAAATTTCATTTTCATGGAATGAAACCTTCATTTCACTTTATTCTACTTTTCTTTTCTTTAAAAAAAAAAAAACAAATATTAGTGAATCAAACACAACTTGGTTTATCAAATGATGCTAATATTGTTTATTATTCCAATGTTAGTAATCCATCAGAGATTATTATCATAGGATCTGGTCAAGTATTTGATTCTTCAAATTTGTCGATTGGTAAAATTGGTTATTCAAATCCATTATTGGAACCAAATCGTACTTATACAATTTATGCAATCATTCAAAGTGAAGTAGACGGATCAAGCGAAATCACACGTTCACCTCCAGTAGTATTTTTAACCGGTAATAATAGTAGTAATATTAGTGGGAGTCCGATTATTCCAACATCTACTTCGATGAAAAACAATCAAACTGATTCTAATAATACACTTGCTGTCGTTTTAGGGATTCTATTAGCTCTTGTTCTCTTAGCTTTGATTGGATTAATCATTTATTATATTTGCCGAAAAAAATGTCAGGTTAGTTAATGTTTTCTTTAATTGCATAAGGTCATTTTGTATCTAGTTTTGGTTTTAGATAATAAAAAAAAACTATAATTGTTAATGATTATGTAATTATATTAGTTTACCACTGAGGGGAAACTTTTGAGGCGGTTCAATTACAGATTACTGACTGTCACATCCAGAGACGTTTTCAATTAGCTATTTGAAATTCGACTGACATTAAACAAGACTAATTGAACACTGAGTAGTATTTACCAGTGTCATGTTGATGATCGAATTCCGTAGGTGGTGAATTGTATAAGTTCATTTTTTAAAGTGAAAAGTGGTTTAACAAGTGTCAGAATGTAATTTTTTACCTGGTTTGATGAAGCTTAACAATAGACGAAATTGAATGTTGTTCATCTTACTTCGAAATATAGATCGATCATACTGTTAGACTCAAAAGGATGATTTTGTTTATAGATATGTTAATTTATCATTGGTGTCAGTAGTGGAACAGTTTTTATCAATGTCAGTGAATAATGGTTTTGGTATATGGTAAATTTAATTTTCTGGGATTAACAGGTATAAGTAATTAATATGGTAAATTGATTAAAATTATACCATTTAATATCAATCCTGTGATTCTAGTGGTTGGGGGTTCGCTGCAAGACCTGCAGATCTTGGATTCGATCCCTGAGTGAGCCGTGTGTGTGGTATATGCTACTTGTATTGCAGATATAAGTAGTATGTAACCAAACAGCAGTGAATACCTGGCGATGGAAGGTTGATAAGATTCAGTTAAAGTGAAGAGAAAGTGTAATAACAACAAGAATGAAAGAATTATGAAGCATGGTAAAAGACAACTGATGGAAGATGTACTAATAATGTATTTAACGTGTGGTTTTCATATTTTATGAAAGCACTGTCGTCTGAACAAATTGTGATAACGCAGCAAGGTTCATATTTTTAATGGGTTTATCAAAATGATATAATTGTGATGACATTTCTCCTCATTTTTACTTCCTCTTTTATTTCATTTCTCGAAATGTTCTCTTTTATCAGTCTGGTCAATATGTATTCCGAAATTATTCAAAAGATTTACATGTATCTTTTGAGAAAAAATCTTATTTATTGCCTGATTCTTATGCTTGGTGGAGTGTACCACGAGAGTTAGGTGAATCACGATATTTGATCATTGATCCACACCATGGACCTTCAAGTACATTGATTGGAAAATGGTCTTTGAATGAATTATTAAAAACATTTTCACGTGAATATTCAAGGTATACAGTGTTGTGAATGTTAAAATTGTTTGTTTGCTTTTAATTTTTATTCTGTATATACTAGATTACATGTTTTTATATAATGTTTTTACTAAGGTATGTTCTTTTCACAAATTTATTCTTTCACTTCGTGGTGAAAATTGACCCCTAAATTGAATAAAAATCTTTTTCAGTTGATATCCTATTGGTGTTAGTGATTAAGAGATAATACCCAGTTTTTATGTGAATATGTATATCAATGATCTGATCATTTATATCGGGATTGTATATTACTTAGTATAACACTGTGTTTGTTTAATAAGTAGGGTAGTTTTTAAATCAATCCAAGCTATTTTAAACATTTATTGTCTTTTAATGTAAGTCAATGCACTTTTATAAGTTCTTATGGACATTTAAATGGTGTGAAGTGCTCGACGAGTCACAAAGAAACATATATCAAAATGTTGAACAACTTTCAACTCAGTATATAACAGTTTAAAGCGTTTATTTTTCTAATGTGGTCCTTTTAATTACTTCATCTACAAGTGTATTATCTGTATTCAGACAGTTCAACTCTGGTTAGGAGTTCAATGTGGATTTTTAAAGTAAAAAAATAAATGTTTAAGTGCAGTATGTATTAGGTTTTATATTCATGCAAACGATAGCTATCCTGGTAGACGGCTTATGCTCCTCTACAAGGAGTAACAGGCGTTGGTAAGTAAGTAAACGATAACTATCAATTCCATTAACTTTTTATGCTAATTTTGCAGTACAAAAAATGGAAATTATTTTGTAATTGCAGGGAAATAAAGTGTAAGTAATCAGTAGACATTTTTATTGTTCACCAAATTATTTATTTAGTGGAATGATTACTTATATACCTAGTGTAGTGGGTGCTACTCAAAAGGTTATTTATTGAAGTGTTGAAGTTGCAACAATTATTGGGTAGAGTGGTGAATTATAGTCCATCGAAAGTTTGGCGTTTGACATAACACTTAGAAGACAGTTCAGATCGCAGATGGATGCAAATGGACGATTGAAGGTTATATATATGTATTATATAAATACTTTGTAACTTCACTCAGTAAACATTCATCCCTCCCACCTACTGTCGTTTTTTACAATAGTACTCTTCAAAAAAAGTAAATTTAAACACAAGTAATTTTATATTACATTAACCGATGGTACCTACTGATCTATTCTTTAAGATCATTGACATAAGTAGAAACATATATAAACATAATGAAAAGTCTTGTTTCTTTTCTTGCTTATCTTATGCTTTGTGTCAGTTTTCAAGATGTATTGAGTAAGAAATCCATTCATACTATATCCAACCGATATTTTACTAACAATCTTAATTTGGCCATTTCTTCCAAACATTAAAGTTCTATGGATATGTAAGTGTAGAACGTGATAAGGATTTTTTGTAAACATTATTTATTTTTCGTAATGTCTTCTTTCAAAATACACCTTCATTTTCATTTTTCTGTTTATTTTTCACTCATCCACAGTATCCCATTAGGTGTGAAATTTTCTCAATCCATTGGTAATTTAAAATGAATCTATCAAAAAATCATAGTCATACAAGTCTACCTTATGATCATAATCGTGTTAAATTGAACCGGTTAAATGATTCCTCTCAAACTGATTATATTAATGCCAGTTTTATTGATGGTTATATGCGTAGACGTGCTTATATTGCGGCTCAAAGTCCATTTGATATGCTTACTATACAAGATTTTTGGCTAATGATATTTCAATGTAATATTGCACAAATTGTAATGCTTACTAATTCCATGAAGATTCAACACTTAAATGTTGTCAATATTGGCCTGAAGTAAGTGAAAAAGAAGTTTTATTAAATTTTATTTCATTTTTAAATTTGTAATTTGTTTTGATTCTAATTACTTTCAAAATAGTTCCCCATTTTGACGTCGGGTATTTGGAGTGTATCATAATATGAAAAGTTACCACTGAGCTAGCTGTTCGAATTGTGACTAACCTGTTGAACTAAGCTATTTGCGCTTATTGATCACTGATTAATGGCGAATTTCATGTTTATTTGATATTTTGTGCTAAGCGGAATCAATCACTGATGTGACTCGAGATAAGCCTTGCTGTTTAGCGCCGTCTAACACGAAACATAGGTCCAGAGTTTCTTGCTAACTACCCCTAACAACCTAACACCAAAACAACGTGCACACAGTATTGATTCACTTTGACTAGTAACCACCAGATGATACCATAACAAAGAATTTGTTACTTATTCCTAGAAAACTTGAAGCATATACAAACTATTCAACACAAAATAAACACGATTCAGAAATTTATTTAAAAGATTGACACCAATTAAATTATGTAGTCATTAGTAATTATTATTGACGTGGATTTCCTGAATTTCTATTAAGAAATCATAAATTGTTCAGAAAATCAGGTTAGAAGTGAGATAGAGTAGTTCATCGATGATACTGAATGAAAATTATCCTGTATGACTAAGTGGAGGCAGTTATGCTCCAACTGGCATTGGGAAGTGGTTGAGAAGTATCGCGAACTAAGTGGAGTTGTAAATTTTAACCATGTAATAATGACCAAGTTGTTGGAAATTAGGTTTTCATTACCCTAAAGGTTCTACGTTTGGTCCCCGCTAGAGTTGTGTATGCACACTACTGCCGAGTCCCACACTATGACAATATAGCTATTTGATGCTCTCTGCTTTCCCATGGTTTTTCAACTAAGATCATTCTGTGATTTAAACTATAAAACTAAACAATCTCCACAATTCCTATACATTATAAGTAACTAAAGTTGTGTTGAATAGAATATTCCTATCAGGACATTAAAAACGTAAGTTGAACGTAAAAATATTTATTTTCGCTAAGCTATTTGATATTGTTCTACACTACTGACTTTCATGCCAATGGTTTGAAAGTATTGCGAGACCGTAGAGTTGTAGATTATGTTTCATATAGTATTATATTTGGTATCTGGTTATAAATATCCGATTGGAACGAACCATCTATTTATTTCTCTCTAAATGACGTCTGTTTATGTTATAGTTGACCTTTGAATTGTTCAAAAAGCCGTATAGTTATTTATTTATTTATCTATTTGAACACAAATATTGGTAAAAGAGGGCACCAAATATATATGCGCCACACTTTTGTGTGAGGGCTATGATACTGCCCGGGTGCTCAGACCGAAGCAGGTGGTTTTCTTAGAGGGCCACACCCCGAGCCTTTGACCTAAAGATCTATCCCACAAGGCAGTGGAGCATCGTGAGGAGATGCAGTCCCACGGTAGCCGGTTCATACGCCATTTGTTCCCGCTGGATACTGGGGCCAATGTGCACCACTGGTTTGGGATCCGGTTAAAGCGCCGGACATTCGCTTTTCGTCCTCTCATTTGCGTAAACAACACCCCACCACATGAAGGCAGTGAGTAGGACTTCCCTGTCAGAGGCTATATACGCGTGGCCGTGTGAGAGCATTTCGAGAGGGAGGGTGTGCCTACCCCACTCTCGGCCATACCAGGGCATTTAGGGGCAACAAATCGGATGTCGCTGCCAGGATACGAACCTGGGTTAGTGCGGCGACAACGCAATGTCCTAACCACTAGACCACAACGACGGAAAAAGCTGTATAAAAAAATCTGAAATAAATTCGTTCAGAATTACGTAGCTAGATTTCCATCTGTCATATCAATGAGTTATTATATTCTCATTATTTTTTAGATCTTAACAGAATAATTAAGATTGTTGATATGTTATCTCTTTCTAAACATCTTATACCTTATTTTCCATGTTATTGTTCGTTGAATAAGTTAACTTCTATTTTCTTTTTTCTATATAATTCTCATTACAGATGCCAACACGATCTAACACTAATCAACCGGATTCAAAGTCTACAATTCAATATTTTGGTAATATCATGGTAGAAATAATTAATCGAATTGATTATCCTCATTTTACTGTAAGATACTTTATTGTAACTGAATTATCATCGAATATAAGTCAACAAGTTATACAGTATCAATTTTATAGTTGGATAACACCTGATCATATTAATAATATACCACCATATTTTACAAATGTTGATAATACAGTTGAAAATGATCGTAAAATTAATTTATTATCTAATAGTAATTCATTGAAAAATTCACAAGATTTATTCTGTTATACATCGACTTCTGGAACAAGATTTAATCGATTAAATTTTATAGAATTTTACTATCGTGTTAAAACTTCTAGTCGTCCAGAAGATGGTCCACTACTTGTTCATTGTTCTACAGGTTTGTAATGTGATCATTGAATGTAACTGAACAATTTAAGTTTTCATATAAGTTTAGTATTATTAATGTTAACCGTTCTCATTAGAAGAGATTTTTGTTTTCAAACTTACTAGATGGTTTTCACAATCTATTTCATTGTCTTCTGAAATTCTTCGATAATATGTACTTACTTTCTTCTTGTAATTCACCTTAAGAAGTATGGTACTGTGTAATGCGTAATTTTTTTGTGAATTAGTTATATTAATTTTATGAATCGGTATTTCGGATTTTAATTAGCTTGTCATCTTTTTCGGATTAATAATAATTTCTGTTGATACTCCGTGAATACATTGAATAGGCATTCAGAAATTAGTAACTGAATGGTAGGGTTGAAAATTAGTGTTAAATTTCTGAATGAAAAATATATATTCAATACTACTTAGATTTGATTGTCAGTTTGTAGAACTGAAAATATTTATCAAATGAGGTGGTTAAGACATGTGTTGTAACGCGTACTCAGTCAATGCCTAATCTGATGCACAATATAAGCTGGTATAGAGGTAGATTGTAAGAAATCTAGCGGCAATTTAACCTAACCAAGACATAACATCAATGCTTTAGGCAATTAGCTATTGAAATGAACTTCGTTGAAAGGTACGGAAATCCTGGTCAAATGTGCTCTTTATAATTTGAATTGACCTCTCGTGTTTTTAAGTGAGACGCATCATGAACTGATTCATGTCTCTGATCGGTTTTACATTGTTGATGACGGACTGACTAATTGATGGTTCACTGATCCTTTGCTTTTGCGAGCAATTGTCAATCTACAATTTCAAGGTTACTCTTTATTTAGTATCATTAAGATGTATGATAGAAGAAAACTGAACATACAATAGGTATTTTTAAACGAATCAATCACTGAGTACTGTAACCAATAGCATGTTTTTTTATTCTATGCTGGTGATCTAATTCTATCAATGAAGTTTGTAATGCGATTACTAGGCTAAACAACTGGACATTACTGTTCATATTTTTTAGTTTTCACATAGTTGGAAGTAGTAATAAGAAACTATGAATTAGATTAAGAATATTTTTCTCAGGATTTAGCATGTGCTCTATTGATGAGTCTCAGTCAAGACGAAACGTCCATCTATAATTTCAAACTGATTAACTCCAATTATCTGACAATATTTATCGTTAATTTTTCAATCAAAAAAGGTAATGTAATGTAATTTGCAATGAATTCTTAAAATAATTCCATTTTGTAAAAAGTGCTTTATTCAAACTTTTTTTTCTTATCATTCCTAATTCATTTATTTTAATTAGGTTTATCTCGTACAGGATTGTATATAGCATTTGATTTATTACTACAACAGGTTACACATGAACGTGTTGTCAATGTGGCAAAATTTTGTTCATCATTATGTAAAGCTCGTTCGAATATAATTCATTCAATGAGACAATTCACATTATTATATGATTTATTATTTGAAGTTATATTAGGTGGTCATTGTATTGTTGACTTGGATGTGCATAGTACTTATAAAATGGTGAGTAGTAGTAGTCAGTCGCATTATTATTTAGTTTTTCCAATCCATTTTTTAACAATAAAGTTATCTAAGATATTAACAACCTTTTGGCTACTGGATAATGATTATTTTAAAATTTAGGATGTTTTCAATTATCTTGATGCTTGATCTTGTTTTCGGATACGTAGAAATCTAGGGAGATTTGGATGAATTGTATAAACAACCTTAGAATCAACCTATGGACCATCGGGGTGATTAGAGTCTATTATATGTTCAAGAATGAAACTTCTAACTGCTTTCCCCCCATTCTTTTAGAACCACACTGGAGCATATTCTCGTATCCGAGTTGAAAGCAAGCGCTGGCTAAGGCCTGTGTACCTTATTCCACCAGAGCAAGTGAACTGGTAGATGCACATGGAGACGACCAAAAAGACGAAGTTTATCCTTTGCAAATACAGAAACTAAGTTCTTACTAGTGAAAGTTTGTTGCAGCTTTGCTATATAGGACGTTCTTTTTATCCCTGCCCTTAACCTATTTATAGTTACACCAAAAGTTCGGTCATAAGAAGATATTCCTTCGAAACGGTATTACTGGATTCCTTGTTTCAACTTCTTTTCATCTTCCCCTCTATAAATCGGCTTGGATAGCCGTTTTCAGTCAGCTTTTCTGAGGAATGCAAGTTATTTATCAGTGTATTCAGTACTGCATATCTGATGTATTCGGTAACACGAAGAGTGACCCCTCTTTCCGCTTAGTGGAATTCAGTCATAGAAGTTGGTCAGCCGGTCGTTCCATGTTCGTTTTTTTGTAAATGGATTATTATAACGGTCCGTCACTCCTTGTCAGACGCACATCGAGCAAAGAGATTGACCCAGCTCATGTTCTTACATGAAATCTATGGAAGGATGGCATGTATTGAAATAATGTAAAATGTCTACTGTCAGTCAGTCAGTAACAACGTAGAACTTCGTACGTACGTTCATCAGTTCGAGTTGCCACACCACATTAGCACAAAGATGCAGTGGTCGATTCAAATGCCGTAGTGCTAGATGTAGTAAAATTATAAGCTGTAATCAGAAAAATTAGGGTTTGAAGATGTTATTCAATCAGTATAATCCAGTGAAATAAATTTGGGAAGAGAAAAAGAAAGGGACATGAAGAATTCAGAAGATTAGAATTTGGGAGAACACAAAGAGTGGATGCACTGTGCAGTCACTTAAAATAACTTCATTATTACATCAATCGAGGAGAAAATATTACATGAAGTTAAGGAACAATATATTGAAAGAAATAAAGAATAAGGCGTAAAATTCACAAGAATTTTATTCATTAAAAGATATCGTTGATTTTAGAAAACAATTAAGGTAGCTTTCCTTCAGTTAAGAAAGTTCATCATACTTTTATGAGGCATTCAGTAGAGAATTACATCAACATCGTTATTTACTTCTATTCAGAGGTTTGTTTGTTGACGTCTCAAAGTCTTGGATCAAACCAGGGTATTGTGGTTTACTAAAGTATGTCAGCCTTAGACCAACAATTGTTCATTCTACGGTTGAATATTTTTACCATTTAGTAACACCTTTATAATATTTCCCTTTCCTCATCTCATTGTTATTCTTGTTTTATCGATTACCTATCGAGATAGATGTAATTACTGTGATTGTTTCATTGAAAATATAGATTGAATAAAATGCTCAAATTATTTCCATTTAGGCTCTTCAATAGAATAAGTCTCGAGTGGATGTTTTAAACTTTGTAAACTGATTATAATTGTCATTCATGTATTAAGTTGTTTGGTCAATCGTGATGCCTTAGTTGTTACCATCCTAGTCAGTTTAGTCAGTAATTTTCGATAAGTTCTTATATATACAAAACTGATCTTGTAGTGATTTTCACACAATTTTGGTATAACTTTCATCAACTTTTGATGTTGCCTAGAGAAGCATTGAATACTTACTTGTACCAAACAACTACTATGTTCTTATTTATGATTATGTAATGACGTGTATTCATAATCCTGCCACAGATCAATCTTTAATTTTTTAAATCTCTTAAAAAGTATGATTTTCAATGGCGCGCTCTAACTGACAACAGTTTACCTACTTTCCGACACCATAAATTATAAACTCATGGAATATTCATGTTATAATATCAACTAGAAGTCGTTTGTTTTCTCTCATTAGAATGTGCAAGTTTATTGTATAATTTTTATCATAAACCTTTTTTCAAACAAAAAGACTTTTCTATTGAAAATTCTTTTAATATAATAATAGTTAAATAGAATTTTGTTAAAATTATTTTTTTAGTTATGTCATAAGAATACAAAACTTAATCGATCTTATTTATGGGAACAATGGTCTGTGTTACATTTATACACACCATTATTTGATACAAATAAGGAGTTACAAGTTGCTGTGAACTCTTTAAACTTATACAAGAACCGTTATCCTAAAATTATTGATCTACTTCCATCTGAACGTTGGCGTGTTCGACTACATCGTACAACAACAACAAATAATAATAATAACAATAATAATGCGCAAACTTCAAATTACATTAATGCTGTCTATTTAGATGGTGCAACTCTACAAGATGATATTATTTTAACACAAACTCCTTTAAAAAATACAGTAGATGAGTTTTGGTTTATGGTTGAAGAAGAACAAGTAAGTGAATGAGAAATTTTCAGAATAATTCTTTATTGTTTGTATTAATAAATGAATGGTTAGTTGTAAAGTCATTTCTTTTAGAAGGAGAAAATTCTTAACTTTTCAAACTATGTTCTTGATAAATTCACTTCGTTTAGTTTACTTAAACCTTCCCATTGATGTTTAGAACTGCAAATTGATCAGTCTCTTATTGGCATATGTACGCATACCATGCGTATTGCATCGATATTGCCTTAATTTACAAGCATTATAAACAAAGATGGATAGTGGCTAGCAGTGAAATCCGGAACGCACGTTTCATCCTATTCGAGACTCATCAGCTGGATGTACTTGCATCTCAGAGTTGATGTTCACTCCGGGACTCGAACCCAGTACCGTTCGCTTCAAATGTCATCGCATTATCAACTTAACTACTGAGTTTTTGATATGTTGCAAAATTTATATGATTTTCTTTACAAGTTACTTCATCATATTTGTTTGTACAATTATATCAAATTGAAAGGGTTTCAAAAGGAATCTTGAAATCATTTTTGACAGAACTTTAATATTGTTCAAAGTTGATTTCCTGACAAATTAATAGCTAGAGAAAGACTCAAAAGATGATGTTTTGGTTCATCATTTTTTTACGCCCGTTAAACAGCATAAAAAGTGGAAATAAAAAAAAGAACTAGCTAAGAATAAAAATGTTAGAAAATAAATGAATGTATATATCCTAGAACTAGAATAACATATATAAGCAAACGATATTGTTTTCAATTAGATCGACACCATGCTCTACTCTTACATATATCAATATTTAGGTTGGTGTATATAAATACCTAACATTATACATATGTTCTGGAAATAATAGTTAAAAAATTCATACCGGTTCATGTACGATCGGCATGATATAGATAATAAAATTAAGTGTATGAGATATATTAGATTGTTTGAAGTGTTAAATGGTTTGAACCCTCTTCCTTTATCCGGACTTGGGACCGGCAGAAGCCCTAGGGAGGCTCCAGTCGGAGTCAAGTGTCAAATAGTTTGAATTATTTTTCCTGTTTAACGCTTTTATAGTGAGTTAGTTTTCTACGGGATGGGGTCCCTTTTTTGAAGTTTACTAGTTCAAAAATTGTTTAAATAGTACATTTTTCACTTGTATTACAGCAATGTAAGGCATCAGTTGGAAACTACTAGTTCTGTTTAAGTGTATCTACGGTTGTTTCTAGTGCCATAACGGATCGACTATAATCATTTACAACCAGAGGAAATAAAACGAAACCAGAGAACACGGAACAACGAAAGCAATAATTACTGTGATAAGTTTATGATAAAACATGTCCCAGTTTATTTTATGGTCTACTGTTTAGGTTGGATATAATTCGAATTAGTTAAGGGTTCCAGGGTCGCTGTTAGTGTAAAGTATTTTCAGGTGGAAAGGTTTAATTAAAAATAAAAAACGATTGAACATCTAAAGTTTCCTATAGTCTCATAAATCGAATGGTAAATCGATGAAGGCAGTCTATGAGTCAATGATAGATTGCGTAATCACACATACTAGGTGAAAGTACAAAATAAAATAGTAAAAAGATGAGTTTACTAACATTCATGAGAATAATAAAATTACCAAAGTTCTAGTCGATAGTCAAGCATAGGAAATAGGTCAAACTTTGATTTCTTGACTATATAATAATCATAAAAATTAATACAATTATTTTTACAGTTGAAATCACTGATCGATCTAAGCTAGACCACCATTGAAAACCTGGGAACACATCGTGGCTGTTCCGTCCTAATATGGGACCCTCTAGCAGTGCCCTCAGCGATCTGGAGATTAAGCGTCCGCGCGCGAGACCGAGGGTCCTGGTTTAATTCTCCGGTTGTAGAGTTGTGGAAGCTGATTGCCGAGGAATCCCATACAAAGAGGAGATAGTCGTGGTGTGCCTTCAGGTTTTAAGTGTTGGTCTAACTTATAACGGTTCATGATTTCAACGAAGTTAATGTTTTTAACCTGTCGTGAGTGGGTTATTCACCTGGCCAACTTCCCCTCCTACAAATTTCTGTTTTTATTCATTTCTGTAATTTAAGTGTAATCGTAAGCACTATCATCCAGATTCTAACAATAAAGTCGCTCATGTTATCTTGGACATATTTAATCACATAGTCCTTTAGGGAAATGTTAGGAGTATACATAATGATCAAACCGAAAAAGAGAAAATAATTACAAAAATCTAGCTTTAGATTTTAAACTATTTTCATGGATAGTTAATAGCATCAAACCTTATCACTATTGCATACACCATATCCATTTGTTCGCCTATTTATGCTTATCATCGTAGTAGTCAATAATAAATGGCTGGTTCTCAAAGAAGGTAATTTCTCTATACATTGAACACTTCATGTGATATCCACATATCTTCTCGAGTTTCAATATAGTTATCAATTTTCAGTTGAATATGCAGTGGGATAATAAATGCTGATAAACTCTAGTAACTAAGACAACGATAGTCTTGTAAGGAGTTTCAAAGAATGGAAACCACCATTGACAAAATATGATAAAGCGGTTAAATATATATTTTATTATCTTAACACATGGCTCACATAATTATTAAAGTCAAGTTAAATTTCCCAAGATGATTTGCGGACATCTTTGTATGTTCATGTGTCTATCTGAATGTGCGTACACGTACTTCATCAATACCTTCAAGTCGCTTTGTACAAAAATGGTACTTCTTAAAGAAGTGTTAAATCAATCTAAACTTACGTGTTTGACTAATGATATCGTTGTATATATATATCTTTTATCTAGGTTTCATGTATTATTGATATGCAACCATTTTCTTATGGTGTTGAAGAAGCTGTTCGATACTGGCCCTTACGTCCTGGTGAAAATATCTCATATCCCATGTTTGATGGCTCATTCAATGAAGAACAAAATAAGACTGACATTCAGTCAGATTTTAGTGAAACATCATTTCAACGTGGACCATGGTTAGATTTTGCTGGTGGACAAATACAAATCTGTCAACTTGGTTCATTAATTCCTGTCCGCATAAATCCAGTTTCCCCGAGAAGAAATTCTAATCATGAAATTTATAAAAGACGTTTGCTCATTCGTCAACGCGAACCTACCCATTTAAAACAATACAGCTATCAACAGTTTAGCAATGAAAAATCTAAACCCCGTGAAGTTTTAGTCTTTCATTTTACCGGTGGTTGGAATACTAAAATGGATGTAAGTAATTTTATCATTATAATAATACTTACTTACTCCTGTTACTCCACGTGAAGAAGCATAGGCCTCCTACCACCATTATAATACCCCATAATTTATTCGTAGAAGTAGTGATAATAGAGATTGAGTTACTGAAGAAAAGCTAGTATTTTTTTATCGATTGGTAGTGGTCTAGAGATGGTTACCTACAGATCCATAATAAGGAACCACCAGTTAACTGGTTACATTGACCCGTCAACTGTTGTAGTCATCAGAATATTCATAAATAGCGCCGACATCTCTGTGCGTGTGGCTAGCTCCACCTATGCTGGCTGACTTATGAGGAGCCTTTTATGTTTTTCTTATAAACACTAACATGTCTATTAACCCCGTCAAATTGTATTTTCTTTCAAAAGATTAAGTATATCAAATGTAAATTCACAAACTTGAAATCTAAGCCTTTTTGACAGAAGTAGGGAATTAGATAACATAAACCTAACCAAGTTGATTTTTTTTGTGATGATCAGGTGACTTCTGTCTACTATGATTCCCCATAACTGACTGTTTATTTAGAGCACAAGGATGCCTAATAAATAAACGGAACTTAGTGTTGCATCCTATTCAGTCAATATTAATGTAATGGCTGGAAATCGTTTATTAACCAACTTGTTTAGACAATAAATATGCCAATTTTAACCGTCATATAAGAAATGGCATCTATCCAGAAGTAAATTCAAAGTAGATACCTTTTTACTTACGTACTTAAGCCAGTTACCCTCGCCGGGCATACTAATTTGACCAGTTGTTACCACGTGCTATTCGTTTTCTTGTTCTATGCCCTCAATTCCTAGCACCACATGTTCTTTGGTCTAGCTCCAGTCTTTGCCAATTATTAGCTCAAATTTACAGGCGATAAAATTGGAAATAGGTGTCAAACAAAGATGTATGGTATACCACGATAGTTATAACTTTTTAAGTAAAATAAGTACGAAAGATAATGATTAATATCGGATATGCTTTACCAGTCTGTTAATATTTACATACATTTTATGTGTACATATTGTATTTTACAAGCCTATTTTCTGTTTGATTGTTATTTTTCCCCCTTTTTGATGGTAATCATTACGTCTGCCCATTCCATTAACATTTTAACGTCATTACTTTAGACCTTGTGTTATTTCTTATTTCTTTGACTTATTTTCGGATGCTTTTAACACCTACGGAGAATTTTTAAAAAGTTAAAATTCAGTTCTACGGTAACACCATTCATTTTCAGTCATATCTATTAATCTGAACTTCAATATCGTTCAAACTAATAATATTTTCATTCCAAGCATCTCTTACTTACTTATACCTGTTATCCCTAATGGTGAAGCATAGGCCGACAACCAGCATTCTCCATCGAACTCTATTCTGGACAATCTTTTCCAGCTGTTATTCATCCTTTTCATGTCTGCTTCCAATTCTCGGCTCAGTATGTTCTTTGGTCTTCCGCTTTTCTGTTTCATTTCAGGATTTCAAATCAACGTTTGCTTCGTGATGCAGTTTGATGATTTCCTAAATGTATGTCCTATCTTTTCCCAATGAGTTTTCCTAGTTCCCTCTTCATATGGAAATTGATTTGTTCTCTCCCATAGTAGGCTGTTGCTGATGGTATCCGGCCAACTGACAATGAGTATCTTTTGTAAACAATTATTTTTAAATACCTGTACTTCAAGGATCTCTTACTTAATTTTTCTTTTGACCAGAATTAAAATTCATGATTTCTAGGGTTTTTTTATCCATATCAGTTAATGAATATTAGTTTCTTCATTTATTGACTGATTGATTGATTATTACTAAGTTTACTCGAAGTGTTCGCCGAATCCGATCATTATTTCATGGGCACTAGTTATGAAAATTGTTAAGGCCTATTTTCCTAGTACAATTATACCAAGAAATGTACAACGACTTCATGTACATTAATGTTTCGACTGTTATTACGAACTTTGCTTAGAACATCGGCTATCTGAATGTTTGATCTTTGATCAATTGGTTGACATCTCCATTGCATCATCACCTCTAACCTTACCATAATGCTTAGTTAAGAATTAGTAATATACTTTTTAATGTTAATATGTATTACCTTATTAAAAGAAAAGATCTGTAACAAATTTACAATATCTTTTTATTCTAGGTACCTGAATCACGTATAGCAATTGTTCGTTTATTAGAAAAGGTACGCTTAGAACGTGGTACAGGTCCATTGATTATTCATTGTTTAAATGGAGCTACTCGAAGTGGTCTGTTAGCTGTATGTTACTTATTGGCGGAAAATATGACAAGAGATCATTATGTTGATTTATTTCATGTTATAAAAATGATTAAAATACGTAGAAAAGCCATTTTAGCATCACCGGTTAGTATTTAATCTATTATATATTGACCACTGTAAATTTATGAATGTTGATTATATGATTCAATGATCACGTTTTTGGAATAAAGTTTCATCATCAACTCATTTCAGCTTGTGAATAACTGGAAACTAGTGAACAATGGACTAATTTCCGCAATCGATTTATGTATTTCATCGTGATGTTTTTCAACGACATGTTAATTTTCTATAATTTATTGCCATGAAATAGTAGTCGAAGGAAATTTTCGAGAATTATCTTGTAGTAAATGAAAAATTGTATCCTAGATCAAATTAGTGTATGATTATGATTAATGTTTTGCAATACTAAATGCTTTTGCATGTATTAATATGTGTTTAGGGTGCGGTGGGGTGATAGAAATGGATGAAATTATCAATATTTAGTATAATTTAATTTGAATATTTAAGTGTTGTTGAAGTTACTGAATCAAAGAGTATGAGGATTCGGGCCAAAGTACATCTGTACCAGGCCGTGTTTCAATAACATTTGTCTGTATGTAGCTCAAACAGCTTGATGGTAACTTTTTGGATGGTATTACTTATCTGCCAAGATGACATGTACACTATGCTAGTCAGTTCAACCCAGGTTAAAGGTTTCTGTTAGTCACCTTCAACCGTCGAACTAAGAAGAAAAGAATCATCGGTTATTGTGTAGTGTCGGTTGCTATGTTAAGCCTATATACCTTATTCTAGATTCTGGATAGGCCGACTTATTCTTTTGAGTCACGTTTTGACCTTGGAAATTATTCACTCATCAACCTTGGCTGTTTTTATGTGAGCGCATATGTATGTGCACTTATTATTCTATTCACCACACGTCTGTAACTTATTTTTATCGGGCTATAAATATTGAGTAACACTTGATTAAATGGAGGCCTTCTTCACTGCTCGTCATTTCGTTTCGATCTCTTCGATTCGCTTCGTCCCTCTGATTGTCTGTCCAGATCAATGATTGAACAAAATATACGTATTCGAAATCTTTTCTCGTAACTCCGTTATTCACTAACGCGAGTTAAGTCGATAGTTCTATACGGGGTTAGGCGATATATATATATATATATATATATATATATATATATATATATATATATATATATATATATATATATATTTCGATAGCAATCATTCAATAGCGATCAACATATGATCTAATTGGAGTCAGATCCCGGGCCGCTGAATCTACTTGAACTCGTCAATTATGTTACTTTAGTGTAAGAAATGATGTATTCAATGTTGATGATTATTTTAATGTGTTTGAAGTGATTGTGTAGTAATATGTTCTATATGCTATAAAATATTGTTTATAATTCAAACTCAAGGAATATGTATTTTATTCTTTAAAATTTTCATAATAACTGCGAGTTGAATGGCTGGAAAACATTAAGAAGGAAGTTACCTTTCTGAACATTTTACCGATTGAGATTGAAAATGACTCCAAACATTTTTCTCACCAGGTCATTTCGAAATACTTTGTCGAAAATAACCAAAAGAATAATTACTGAATATAGATACGGATGTTGCTTACTCAGATATAATCGCTGTTATTTTCACAGTTATAGTTTTTGTTTTAATGTCCTATAATTCATAAATGATAAAATCATTTATTTAAATTAATTGACCATTTTTCCTCTTTCATTTTTAACTCTAAACCATCTCTTTTTGTCAATAAAATATTCATGCTTCAGGATCAACTGCGTTTCGTGTATCGTTTCTTAATTCAATGGATTAAATATACATTAGCTGAGCCATTGGCTAATTGGACAGTAAGACGATCTGGATTGTCTATGCCATTCTCACTATCAGAAGCAGTATTAAAACAACAATGGGAATGGTCACAACAACTTGTTGGTCATTTACCGTCAGATTCACGTATTGGTATATTCTCACATAGTCAATTGCCAATATTAGGAGCAAATCATTTAGGAAGTGCTACATTGAATAATGATCAATCATGTAGAATGAGTAATCGCAGTAATGAATCACAATCTACACATACTAACGAAGATTATGACACAACTGAAATACCGATACTGTCAACATTGTATCATTATTTCAATGATGAAATTTTAGGTAATCCAAATTTAGATTATCATTTGCAAACTAAATCAATAAGGAACAGTTTTAATAATCCATATTGTTACTGATTCAAGTTAGTTTAACTACATGTCATACCAATACCGATGTTTTATATCACTGAAAACGATATTCTTATCTTCCTTTATCATGTCAACATACATATATCTTATGTTTTATTACTGAAATAAAACAGTTTTATCATTTTGCGAATAGTATTCTTTTGTTTGTTTATTTTTTAAAAAAAAAGAAAATATAAAACCCCTTTTTTATCATATTTAATGTATTTTATTAATACACAAGAACTCAACACTTTCTATTCTATCGTTTAATTCTATACACTATTTCTTCTTTTATATTCCCATTTCAAGTGATTAAATTGTATAAACCAAAATACAGTATATCACTATATTATATTGAAGAGTAAAGAATATGGATAGATATATAATGGATTATAGAGTTTTTCCTCTTTATTAAAAAGGTTATAAATGTTCCATCATTATTTTAGTACCGTGTGTACAGCACTATGACAATTAAACATCGAGTTCTTTATTGTGTTTACAGTTTTTGATTGGTTATTTTCTCTTTCTTTTAAGATCTTATATTACAGGTTTGTTTCAGTAATAAGAATATTATAAATACATATGTTAACATTAGTATATAAGTAGTGCAGAGTATGATATTTTGTTAATAATGAAATGCAAGTATACAAGATTGGATGTGTTTTTTATCTAGATGATAAATAAAGAGAGAGATAAGTATTCAATGTTCATCTTATTTAGATGGTTTTATTTTTGATTATTTGTGATTAAGGTCAGTTTTATTACTTATAAGTATTAAGATGTAGCTTATAGTATGACAATTAGTGGTATTTATTTTTTATGTAATTCATTTTGATTACTTATCTTTACATATTCTATGTTTTCGATTTTTGTATTGTTGTTATATTAAAGTGGAATTTCCTCTCTTTCTTTTTAGTGAATATTCAAGTATTTACAGTCTTACTGTAGGAATCATAATATCTTTATTATTGTAACATGGAGTGATTATTATTCTTATAGTGTGTGCACGTACATAAGTGTAATGATCTGAACTGATTTCTTTGTCTGGAACAAGAATTCTTAAATATTTATGTAATATAATATTTCTCTTTTAGTGAGTAATCGGAAGGTTCCCGGTTTGATTGACCGCAATTGTTACACAATCAATTTCTTTGTATTTTTTACTGTCATTTTCTTTAAAGCTCACTCTTTAGTCTTTTTCGTTTACAAGACAGCATTACAATCCAGGTTTATTATGTACTGTTGGTTGGGTGTCCACTCTTGTTGAGTTCATGACACACCATAGTCATATTGATTTGGTGGGTATTATGATCTTTTATTTATTGAAAATAAAATGATTAATTATAATTTTCGTAATACTTATTCCTTATTCTCTTTAATAAAAGTTTAACATTTCAATTCATCTATGTTGGTTGTTTATATCTCCTCATTATTGTTTAAGAATACAATTGATCTGTCTCTTTTAGCATATATGCATTCTCTACGGATTGCCTTTGTATTGGCATTAAGGTACAAGGACTGTAAGCAGAAATGGATAACGCGATGTCACAGAGTGAACACCAACTCTGGGATCTAGGTACATCCAGTCGGTGAGTCTTAAATAAGACATAACGTGCTTTTTGGATTCCTCAGCTAGCTAGCATTGATCTTAGTTTAACATTCTATTCTTTCTGTAATATTCATTCGAGGGATACATATGGGCACCAATATACAGTCGGTGATAACTATGACAGTGATGATGATCGCGGTAGTTCGTAGTCTAATAAAATTCTTTTGTTGTCTTGTTTTCCTAGAAAAAGTTTCTAGTAAACAATAAAAAGCAATAACAACATGATGTTCATATAGTAAGATTTTTGTTTCTCTGTTAATCCTCAATCTAAAATGCATACATTATATATGAATAAGGGGAATTACTATCTAGTTCTTTGAATCGTACTTTTAGTCACCTGTAAGCTAAACGATTCGATATAGGGATGATGTACATTAGTTCGTATTAAGCAATTGGATACAATTAACGAGGAGCATGTACTTGAGTTACGGTTATATTTAAAACCCGTATTTCTAACTGACTGATTTTACTATATGCTTTTATCAATAATGTTACGAACATAAACACAGTTATGTTGTCTAAAGATGAAGTTAACGATCTTCAAAAGCACTGCAAAATGGAAAACATTTGAGTTCTGGCTTTTAGAACTTGCATTTGCCACACATTCGTGTCATAATGTATGCCTTGTCTGCGAAGTTATCCTGTGGTGGCTATCAATCGTAACGTATTTCTTCAAACTAACCAAAGATATTCAAAGCTTAGGGTTTTTTGTAATCCTGAAAAGTATAACATAAACAAGATTATAATTAAAACAATCAGTCGCTTTGCTTATTGATCACACACATACGAAGTTAAAGTACTTTAAGTCACTTTCAAGAAGTAAATTTCCGGAGTACTAATCAGTAGGCGTAACCAGTGTATTTAAACCAAGATGAAGATCTAAGGTATACACCGAAAACAATGGATGATGGTCATTTAATACTGTGGATTAATTGAAGTTAGACTTGTACATGATTGGATTCTGTCCTAATGGTCTAGGAGCGGGGCATTCACGCTTGAGAACAGTGGATTTGGGCACGACTCTCGGATGCCAATTCGTGGGTGGGTAATACTGAGGAGTCCCACATTAGAATGGGACGGTTATGCAGGGTTCCCACATTTTGTTGTTTAACAATGCTTATTCTATCTATGCACGTTTTTACTTCATCTTGTTTTTACATTGAACATATATTCTTATTTCAAAATAAAATTGAATGTTTCCTTACCCATACTGTTGGTCAAGTGAAATATTTCATTTGTTGAAAAATCTTTTATTCCTACCTCTGTTGACTCATATTTCTTTTTTTGTTTTTCTATAGTAAAATTTGATACCCTAAATAGCAATAAAAAACATAGTGACAATAATGTTTTTATGATAGAAACTATGCGAAAATAAATCTCTGTAATGACTGTTAATGTGTTGACCTCATTGAATTATGAATGATTGATTGAGTATTAGATTAGAAATTGGTTTTACTCAAAAAAATCTAATTAAATTTAATCATAAAAATTTTAAGACATTTTTGACATCGCTGTTTGTAACTAAGTAGAAAAATGGTAATTTTAATTTACGATTGAATCTGACAAATCCATTTCTTTTTATCAGTGAATAATAAACAATAAGGGAATTCATTGTCATTATGAGAGAAAGAAGTGGTCTGATGGTTTCTTTTCCAGTTTACAGAAGTTAGTGAGTTCTTGGTGTCGATCCACATTATCACTATTTTCAGAATGTTTTATCTTATTGTACTGATAAATCTTAAAGAGTTTTTTTATTGTTAATTAGCAGGCTTCAAAAAATATCTAATCTCTGTTTACAAGATAAATTGCTTCATAGACTGTTATATCCTAGTGAAGATTAAATTACGAGTAACGACTGAGATCTATCGATGGACTAATATTATCTATATATTCTTATGGTATAAACATTCAGTAATTAGATTATGTATATCTATATTCATCTTATTATAAGCTTTGTCTTGATCTATAATTTATTATTGTATGATTTACTGTTCTTAAGCTATGTTCAGTTTATTAACTACTGCCTCCCACGTTCACAGCCACTTTTTGGCTTTATTGTATGTGAATGTTATTTCTTATTTTATGGTGCGTTGTGGTCTGTTTGGTTGATATATGAACCCAGTATTTCTGAAATAAATGATTCGCATAGGGGAAGCTGTTATTGGTGTTCTGGACTCAAGTGGATGGGTTAGGTGAACATAGGACAATAAGGACACTAAGCTGCTCATACCAGTCGAACGTCATTGGTTTGGCACACTGCTAAGATTGTATAAGTCTGACATAAAGTCAAAACAGGCGTATGTGATGCAGATATGAAGGCACGGATCGGTAAAGCAAGAGCAGCATATTTACAATTGAAGAACATCTGGAACTCAAAACAATTGTCAACCAACACCAAGGTCAGAATTTTCAATACAAATGTCAAGACAGTTCTACTGTTTGGGGCGGAAACTTGAAGAACTACGAAAGCCATCATCCAGAAAATACAAGTGTTTACTAACAGTTGTCTACGCAAAATACTTCGGATCCGTTGGTCGGACACTATCATCAACAACCTACTGTGGGAGAAAACAAACCAGATCCAAGAGGAAGAAGGAATCAGGAAGAAGCGCTGGGAGTGGATAGGACACATATTGAGGAACGCAACCAACTGCGTAACAAGGCATGCCCTAACATGGAATCCTCGATGCCAAAGGAGAAGAGGAAGACCAAAGAACACATTACACCGAGAAATGGAGACAGACATGAGAAAAATGAATAAAAATAGGATATAACTGGGAAGGAAGGCAGAGTGGGTTGGAGAATGTCGTTCGCCAGCCTATGCTCTTTTGGGAGTAACAGGCGTAAGTAAGTGAGTAAAGTTAAATTATCGTTGTTGAGCAATCAACTGAATGAAATTCGTCACTATGCATCAACTTCATTGAGTGCGAGAAAGCATTTAGTAGCGTGGACAGGAGAACCTTATGAGACCTTCTTCGACACTATAGTGTACCTGAGAGGTTTGTTACCGTCATACGAAATTCTGAGGACGGACTGCATCGCAAAGTTTTGGATGGAGGGCAGTGTAAGACAAGGGTGGTCACTTTAATCTTTTCTCTTTCTTCTGGTTGGTGGTTGGATCATGAAGACCTTCACATCTCATTAGTAGCACAGGATGCAATGGACATCTTGGATACAGCTAGACGATTAAGACTTTGATGATGGCTTCGATCTTTCTTATACATAGCATTAAAAGTTTTCTTTTTAGTGGAATCAGTTTTCCTAGTTATGTATTTCATTTTCCTGATTCGAACCACTCGAATTAATCGGATTTTGATAAAAATCCAATTCATTTTGATTATCACATAAACACTGTTTTATGGAAGACGTTACTGTGTACAAAAATAATTAAAAGTACTTT